TTCCCGTTGTCGATAGCATAGGACAGGCGAGTCGGCGGAATGAGTTGCAAATCTCAATAATTCACATCTCGAAAGTAGTTTTATCTTGCAGATTGGCACTCAGACAGCGACCTGAATCACGCCGCTACTCCGTGCAATGTGAGGGCGGTGGATGGCCCGTACCTTTACATCCCTCCTCGACTACGAGCATGAGTGCAAATGGGCCACTCAAGCCATCGAAGTTGAAAAAAAAAAAAAAAAAAGAAAGGAAAGCGAACAGAGAGAGAGATCCTCAGGAATGATCGTGCGGCAGGATTCCTCGCAAGGGGATATCACACATGCCCCTCTTAACTTATTTGAGGCTGGATTACTGGATGGGCGAGTCCGGAGGGCAGAGCCGAGGGTTAAACTGATGCATCCCCCCTCTGTGCCAAAATACAGCGCGGTGTTTTATACGGGAGCATCACCGTCCGCGCACTTGATGCAGCGCTCACATCAGCTCATCCTGACAGCGTGTGCTCAAACAAATTCTCCCTCCGCTTCTCTCTCTCTCTTTCTCTCTCTCAAAAAAGTCCCCCTCCCTCCTCCTCCTCCTCTCCTCAAAGAAAAAAAAAAAAAAACACTATGTGGCAAGGGGATTTTTAAAGGCGCTACTAATGTCAGCTTTTGTTTTAGTTTGCTAGTTTAGATTGTGGTTTTATTTTTTTCTTGTTTGTAAAGAAAAAAAAAGAAAAAAAGAAGCAAAATCCCACATTGCGTGGAGGCGAGTCCGTGAGGATGGCGCGTAGGTACTAGACCGAATTAAAGTCAAGTGGAGAGAGAGAGAGAGACAGAAAGAGAGAGAAAGTACAAGACGCCCACCGACTGAAAACATTGCCATCCCCATGTTTGATGTGCCTGCTAGAACACTCTAAGGCCCAATGGTCCCAAAGTAGGCTGAGATCAACAACACTGATATAACCTGGCATTCAGTGCTAATGCTCCACAACAGAGACACACTTATAAGATATTTATTAGGTGTTTATTTTTAAACCCCAGTTTCAGTCTATTTCCCAACACTAAACTTTTGACACTATTGATATAAAAGGGGGATGCTACGAGGCCAAGGAGCAAAGAATAGGCAGTTGTTTCAAAGGAAGAGTTGCATAATTGTTGGTGGTCTCTAGGCACAGTTATGAAATTACCCCACAGCCCGTGGGCATGTACAGCTACTAGAGAGCTGATGTGACAAGCACAGTTTACTGGGATTTACTAAAACAGTTCACTAACGTGGGGTTCTTATATCAGAAACTCCTTTTACTAAAAACAATAAAAATGCATTATTCTAGATATAATCTAGAATAAGAGGATAAATCAATTAGTGGATTGCAGAGAATACACATTCAATGACAGTATAGCCTATTTGTTTGTAAAGACTTGTCCTTTGTGAGGAAAAGAATGCAATACACCAACTCGCCAGCTTTACATATGTAAAAAATATTTTAGACTTTCATCTACCATGAACATTTTCTGTAGTTGCATCCCTGGAAATATGAAAGGAGATATTTGTGATTGAGCCCAAGCGGAAACCGTTAAATGCTATTTTAAACGCACTCCAACAGAGGTTATGTTCTGAGCAATCGTGTCCGCTTTCAGTACAACACATCTTTTCATGGCTTATTCATGTTTCATAAATTCCCAATCATGTGTTGTGCCGACAGGGCACCTGTTTGAAAGTATTGCTTGTGGTTTAAATAGCAGAAGTGCAGCAAATTGTGTCAGAGCCTGCCTATTCCAAAATCACACAAACAGCATTGAAGCCAACTATTCAAACAACTTTAGAGTAACATCAATGGGATTCAGCATCCAGCAGCCCAACAGCTTTTTGCTGCGGCTGAGCATTTATCACATCTCCTGCCTATCAAAAAGCTCTTCACTGACAGTAATGGGGCTGAGCTCATGCACAAGAGCTGTGGATGACTTTTAGAGTGGAAAATCCACAGCTGCTGGTCCATTTGCATGTACAATGCAGAGGTTTTTCAGAGTTTTTGAGGTACAAAACAAGCCTGGATTTGGCATCCAATGTGCCCAGCAGTTAAGCTCATCCATCCTCTCCTCCAGTCTGTCCCAGTATCGATTATCTGACAAGAGAAAAGCACTACATCCTCTTGGTTCCTTCCTGCTGCCTCAACTCATTCCAACAAGCAGCAATCTGCCACAACATACATCATGGCCCCTTTAAAGTCAGATAAGAAAACCTCTTAATAAGATTACTGTGTCTTTCAGCATTATTATCCCTGCCAAGATGCTTAATCAGCACCTACGCGAACAAACAGCCCAAAAATATCTCAGGCCCCCAAACAAAAAGAGACCTAAAAACCCCTCTGTCGTAAAGATTATTCATGTTCAGAGAAAATGGTCTAAATTGCATTCATCTTCAATAACTGAGTATTTCTATTTTAATGTAAATGTCTAAATTGACTGTATCAGAGTGGAGGTAGAGTGCCACCTAGTGAAATAGTCTGGCACTCCATGAAGGGCTCTATGAGAATATATGAACAGATTTGGATGGAGGTGGATAAAGTAAGGATGTTGTACTGAAACTGTTCAGGAGTTGCCCAAAAACGTAACAAATCTATAAAAATGCCTCAAAAGTTAAAAAACGTTTATTTTCAAAAGAATTAAAGGATAGATCTCCATTCTAGTTTGAATATGGGACTTGTTTGCAGTTCTATTTTGCAGTGAAGGTGATTCATTACCCCAAGAGACTTCTCCTCCCTGTTCCCTAATGCCAGTTTTTTCTTAACATATACAGTATATGGTTTTCTCCACCTTGAACATAGCATAATGTATATGACAGTGAGAATCCCTTACATATCATGTTTTAGATGTTGCAGCTAATCAGTAGAATCTTATAGAAATAAAGGCCAACTCCTTACAGGATTTCTCCTGCAATCAAAACTATTTTTGTGTTTTTAGGAATAAATATACATTTTCCACCAGTATTGTATTCTGCTTACATTTCTAGAAGATGTAAGAATGTTTCTATTAGCATCGGCACTGATGTTTAGTATGGGGTTGTTAATCTTTAATATAAGGTGGGATGACGACGCAAATTAAATTCTTCTACCCTAAGGCGTTTAATTTCAAGGGATTTGTGGATGCTGTGTGACGCACACAGAACTCCTCTGATATTTCTACATTTAGCTCAAAATCCCATGACGACACCTATAGAGAGATGTGTTGGATCTGCAATCTCTGATACTGTATATAGTTTTTAGCAACGTACATCTATGGGGTAGATCAAAACAGTGTTATCTGACTCGATGTTATATTAAAAAGAAGTAATAGACCGCATAGACATAGTTAGATTTCAGTTCTATCAGAGCTCCAATGGGCTTTCACTGAACAGATATCTGTTACAGAATGTAATCATATTGAGGAATGCTGGTGTGGTATAGTTGGTAACATTTTATCAATTCAGTTTGCATGTGCTCCAAAGATATGCAAATCAGGTGCATATGTTTGGTGCACATAAGTGTTAAAATGACACTTAAAACATATATGTTGGTGTATCTGTTTATTAAATATTTAAACAAGTGAGAGTTATAAGTGCTTTACAGCAGATCAGTTCAGCTCATCCCTCCAAATATCTTTAAATGCTTTAGTTCAGCAACCTTTGAATAAGGAAAGCAACACATTGCAGGATTCATGGATGCCACTTTGCTTCTTCCCCTTAGATTCTGCCTCACTTCAAAAGCACAGGAGTGGGGTGACAGGCCAGGGGAGGGGGAGCCCCATTGTTAATTGGCCTTTTCAGCAGAACAGAGAGGTGAAGAAGAAGAAGAAGAAGAAGAAAAAAAGAAGAAGGAGAGGACAATAGGGTCCTTTTGCCTCTCCAGAACAAGAGGGATGCAACGCCTTGAAAAAGATAGACCAGTCAAAGCATATATAGACCTGCAGGGCTCTCTCCTCAGACAACCCCAAACTGAGTGAAAGAGGCCATCAATCATTTGGCTTGCAGCTCAGACAGAGTAAATGGCCTGTAGTACAGCCTTGATACTGACTGCAAGATGTTGTGTTTTTAAATGATGTGTCCTGTGAGTGGTTCAGGGTGCAAAAGCTTGAGGTGTTACTCAGCAGACAAACAGTTTACTCACATCTCTCTTCTCTGCTGCAGCGCTGCGATGGGACGATAGGTAGTACCCTTTCCCCACTTCAATGAGGGGATGAAGCTCAATTAGCATTTCACAAGTCCCCCTTTTCCTCCTCCATTGCAACCTTCCCCGCTGAGCCCATGCTTTCTCTGGGGGATTGTCCTGTTTTGGACCCTTGTTACCGTTGGCAGGGTGACAGTATTCGAGTGTGCAAACTTGTGCTATTGTCCGCAGGCCAGAGGGAGCCATGGAGACCCCATAATATGACACAGGAAAATGTTTGCTGATGGCAATTCTATGGGCTTTGTCCGACTCTTTCTCCTTCATGACGACTCGATTTAAGTCTCTAAATGTTTGACTACAAATGCAGGAGTGCTATCCAGCTCCTTCCCCTTTGTCCCGCGAGGTTTGAATGAGTAATTCAGCCTTTGTGTCGCTCGATTGAGGGGGCAAACAGAAAGACAAGATTCTTGAGCTTTCAAGCCCCTTTCCATGGTTATGCACTCTTTAGATCCCCCCCCCCCCCCCCTTTAAGCAGATCCTACAGCTGACATCACCCTTGGGGAGGGTATGAGGGGTAGGCTATCTATGTTACAAATTTCACTGCCCCAGAACAAAGTTAAAATGCGTTCACATTACCCCAGATTTGCACTCATTTTTATTCCCACACACTCCAGATTTGAGGAGATTTCTTTGGACAAATCGCCGTGCAGAAATATCGCATCCCCTCAGAGGCTTTCCCCTCTCAGATCTCCATGACAACAATTTGCAATGGTGAAGAATTCGATACCAGGGCGCTTGGAGGCTGATTGGGGTGCATTGTGAGGGGCCTGGGGTCGCTGATTGGTTCAAGGAAAGCACCATAACTACAAGGAGTTTATATTCATTCAACTTGTTGAAGTGCTCCTACTGCAGCCTGGGCAGAAGTGTGAGTTTGGACTGTGGCTTCCAGAGTCTGGATTCATCCAGCAGTGGTAAGTCGAGGGATATTATCCCTGAATTACATTAAGTCAGAAGGAACGCGTTCCATTAGCTTTAATTGCAAGGTGCTATTACAGGAAACACTGCGCAATTATTCCAAACGTAAACGTGATTTCTAATTCCTCTAGATACTGCTGATGGACTACAAATTCTAACATGGACTGATCTAAACAAAAACTGAATAAAGATGGCGAACGCAGACAGTGAGGTCAAGACGTTGCTGAATTTTGTGAACTTGGCATCCAGCGATATCAAAGCGGCCTTGGACAAGTCAGCTCCATGCCGACGCTCCGTGGATCACAGGAAATATCTGCAGAAACAACTGAAGCGTTTCTCCCAGAAGTACTCCAGAGTCCCAAGATGCCACACGCACAGGTCTGCTGGGTACGGGTGCGTAAAACCGGTGGGGACTGCTCATCAGACTGTGAAGGTCGCAGAAAAGGCCAGCAGCTCGGACGCGCAAGGTGTGGAGAGTTCAGGGAGCGCTGTGGAGCAGGTGCCCATGAGGAAACGCCAACTCCCGGCTTCGTTTTGGGAGGAACCCAAGTTGACCCAAAATGAAAGGGAGCACCCACTTTTTAAATTGAAAAAGAACCCTACAGGCACAACTGAGGGCAGCGAAAACGAAAAGAACAAAAGGAGTTATGATGATGGGAAGGCTGCTCTGTCTGAGGAAAAGGAGACACTGAAATTGGGCCTGAGCTCTCATCACTGCGTGAGTGTGTGTGGCTGCTGCCCATTCCAGTACCACGGACACCAGGTCCTCCACAGTCACATTGTTGTCCCCCATCCGCCCCTGGGATTGTGGAGTAAGGCAGCAGGGACTGTGACAGAGAGACCTGAGCATCCTTATGGACAGAAAATACACACGCACGTGGTGGTCAAACCTATCCCAACAAAACCAACCGTCCAGTCCCCGATCTTTAGCGTGTTTGGATTCATTTAGGTATTCTACTATTGTGTAAATAAGACTTATCATTTTTGCTCTGTACAGACATTTTTTCCTCTACCATCATTTTTACATGATCCCCAAGCACTTATTGGAATGCGTTTTCTACTTTTTTAAATCTTATGGACCAAGTTGCACTTGCAAAACATCAAGACGCTCACTTTCATGCCAGTCTGATGCCTTCAAGTGTCTGAGATCTGACAGTAAGTTTAAAGGTTTCTACTTTTAGGTTCCTACAGAAAACAACTGCTCTTTTTTTAAGTACCAAAAGTCATGCAAATAAAGAAACACATCCTGTTTTAGTTTCCTCTTCATCTATGAGAATAGAACGTGGGATGTAGATAGTTCTTTTCTTTGTCAAAGTAATGTTTGATATAGGCACATTTGAAACAATGACTTTTATTTTTAAATAAATGATTTTACTTCTCTCCGGAACTCCTTTGGGCATTGGATCATATTCACTTCACTAAGAAACTACAAAACATTTCTGACTGACACATTAAAGCCACTCTTTGTCACATTACAAAGTTTATAAATAGATATGTCATACATAAAGAGCTGCTTTGAGACCATTTAAAGATTTCAGGTATTAGATGCAACTAAAAAAAGAAACCCAAAATGATAAATTTAGTCCCATCTCTGATGCATATTGTTTTTACTTCATCTGAGAGTCAGTCAGCATGGCTCAGGTATCTGATCAGTCTGTCTGGCAGAGGTAGACTTGTGAGAGATTTCAGTCTGTGTCTCCCCATTTGACTCCGAATACTAAATCTGCAGAGGTGCAGCAGCGGACGAGGAGACACTGCAGACAAGACAGACAAACAAGAGAAAGGCGATTGTCATGTTCATACTTGTAGACTGGATTTGTGTTGTATGCACATGTGAGGAAGTAAAGGAGATATATTAGCATGTTCATCTGTAAATAATTAATGGGAAACTTACATGACTTCCTCTTTACAGCGAGCCATTCTTTCCGGCTGTCCAGCAGTTCATTGAGCTTGCTGCACAGCTGAACATGAGCAACATGCTCAAACAGCAGGTCTATGATTGGTCCTGCTGATTTACACACCACTGGTGTTGAGATCCACTCACAGAACTGAAGAAAAAGATCATTAAAAAGTTTAGTCATGTTCAGCTTCAGTAACTGGGATATTCTTTTTAATGGTTTTCTTGGGGGGGGGGGGGGGGGGGGTTCCACACCTGTGTTGCTCTCTCTGGTGGCTCACTGCAGTCTAAAGGAAGCAGATTGTCATATCCATTGCTGCCAACAGTTCTTATATGTGTTTCTCCTGATGTTGGGTGAGGGACGTTTCCGTATGTGCAGTTAAAACAGGAGAGAGCATCGCAGCCATTTTCCAAAAGGCACTTGAGTAAAGGCAGATTATTCATGCAAAGTGCAACAACAGCAGGAAATGTTGTAGAATAAGACGGGATTTTGGCCGCAATGTCAGCCCCTCTGTCCAGCAGTAGGGACATAGTGTGGACACTGCCTCGCCGCACAGCCATGAGTAGAGGACTGACAGGGTCAAGGTTTAGACTAGCTCCTGCATTCAGCAACACCTCTGCTGTCTGAGTGCTGCCATTGGCGATAGCAATGTAAAGGGCTGTTGCACGTCGGTCAGCATACTGGAGGGAGTGAGTGTGGGAGAGAGTGGCGTTTACATCTGCACCTGTCTTGAGAAGCACAGCTGCCACTGTGTGTCTGTCGTGCTCTGCTGCCAGGTGGAGGGGGGCTGACGCAATTGTGACGAAGCAGGGCTCGACTCGTCACTGAGACCAGCATGGACACAATCCTTAACACAAAGCAAGGACGTTAGCAACACAAAAATACAAGACAACAAGAAATTAAAAGCAGTTTCTTTAAGTTTCTGCATATGAAGTAGAATTTCTGGACAACATTGGCATACGGGTACTTATTTAAGTGTTTTGCACAAATAGCAACATCCTTGGACTTTTTTTTTTTTTTTTTACACATTTGACAGTGTTAAAACCTGAAATTCAAATCAATGTTTTTTTAGGCAACAGCAAACATAAAATCGAACATCTGAAGGATTCACAAGTATTACATTTAAGGCAATTGGTTTGAAACAGATCTGAGTGAATCAAAGGTTTTACTTGTAAATCAATTAGTAATACCAAGAAATATTTCACATTCCCTTAAAAGTAATGAACTAATCTCTACTTATAGTTTTCAAACAACTCAAATAAAATCCACTTTAATGCAGGTGTAACATGACATCATATAGAAAACTCCAGAGGGGGTGAATACTTCTGTGAGGCACTGTAAGATTTCATGCATGATTTCTGTTCTATTGATATGTTATTAACACAGTACTACATGTAAACTTACGTATGGTGTCCATACTGGGCAGCAACATGCAGGGGCAGCAGTCCTGAGTTTGTTGTTTTGTTTGCATCTGCATTTTTGGTCAACAGCACTGCCACACTTTCATTGTGGCCATTTTTACTTGCTTCATGCAGAGCTGTGACACCATCAAGAGTCTGCATGTTCACATCTGCACCTGAAGAAAATAATATTTCCTTTAAAACGGTAAAAACTGGAAGAGAAACACACAAATGGGGAACAATTGTGTGCCTCAAATTACCTTTCCCAACAAGATAACAGAGTGCCCTTGTCTGTCCTTGCTGAGCAGCTACAATGAGCGGTGTGATGCAGTAGGTGTTGGGTGGATTGATTGTAGCCCCGGCTCTTATTAGGATCTCACAGATCTCTGTGTTGTTCCTTGACACAGCCTCATGGAGGGCTGTCCATCCCTGACAACAGCGCTGGTTCACTGAGGCTCCATATGACAGGATGAGGCTCACCATGTCCATGTTCTCCAGCTCACAGGCTACAGACACAGACAAGATACTGATTCATTTCTGAGCAAACTTTTGAAAAATGTCTGTTGTATTCAGTTGATTTCACAGTTGTACCTTTGTATAAAGGGGTTTCTTTGTTCTTGCTGCTGATGTCAGGGTCAGCACCAGCCTCCAAAAGACACCGCACACATGACAAGTGTTCACATGACACAGCAAGCAGCAACGCTGTCTGCTCCTGCAAGGTACGTTTGTCCACTGAACCTGGATGGGCTGGAGCAGATTTCTTGTATTGATTTCACACATCTTAAGTATTTGTTTGCATAGTTTTTCCTTTTTAAACAAACAGGCTATATAAATTGTCTATATAATATATGCATTGTTGTTCTCCAAAAATGATGCTTTCAATGTCTTACTCCTCAGTAGGGTCATCAAGCATTCTGTCTGTCCACAGAAGGAAGCATCATGCAGAGGTATCCATCCATCTTTGTTCTCCTTCAGCAGGCGCAGGGGAGCGGATGCTGCCAGATCATTAACAGCCTTCACATCCCCTCTTCTGATGGCAGAGACCACAGGGTCAACGTCCCTGTAAAGCCAGGAAAAAAATACCTAGGTAAATGTGATTAAGTGTAAATTTACAGGGAACACTCTACATCAGCACTTTGAGGGCTTTAGTTTTGATACAACAATTAACCTTTAACATTTATATTTGGATGATAATATTATTTTTTCAGCTTTAATATTACCTTGATACAGAATTCTAAATGTTAGGGTATTAAATAGGCTAAATGAAGATTGTACGTGATTTACTTAGCCGATATTTTTCTATGCAGTAGGAGTCTCCACACACACTACCGGACACACACAGACACATGCAGCCTCGGTGTGAAACACAACAAAAGACTCACTCCGGCTCTGACGTTACGTCGCTCTGACCGTCTCCTCCCCTGTCTCCTCGCCGTCGCATCACAACATTACTACATTTACCTCCGGCATTACGAAACTGAGATAAATATTCAGAATAGCTAAATTTCGTCATGTCTGAGTGTTAATCTTAAAGCAGTGTTCTGTCTATGCAGCGCCGCGCGGGGCTCAGCTGTGCTCTCCCGGATTATTTTGGGACTGTTTTGTCAGGCGGCAGGGTGACGGTTTTCCATATATGCCAAGAGACTCAGACAAGCATAGATAAGGCAAACAGCACAGGAGATAATAGAGTCCAAGCTATGATGTTTCGCTCTGTCTCCGCATAAATTGGCTGAATGGCTTCCGCGTTAACCATCCACATTATTACATTTATGGATGTTAAATAAAGGGCTTCTGTGAAACAATGGGCCTAGTACCAGAGGAGTAACAAGAAACAGGCAATGACTTCTAAATTCCTAAACTGGAAGCTTCATCAATCAGAAGGGGTTTAAAAAAAATCAGGGCTGTATCCAAGATTTTACACAGGGCTGGGGTCAGTCATGAGTCCCCCCCACTGCCACCCGATACCTGAGTTTCAACAGCTACAAAAAAATGTTGGGCTTTTTTGTGACTTCACTTTTTGTTTTGAATTATTTTTTACTAGATTAACAATTGCTATTATTCTTTCAGTAAAATCAATTCCTCCAAATGATTGTTGCAGAGCTGTGTAAATTGTTATTAGCAACTGGTTAAGCTACATACTGCAGCAAGTAGAACCCCTTTTCATATCAAAATGTTAAAATGGCACCGTAATAACATGCAGTAAGTGTAATCAGATACACATAGCCTATATAAGTAATATGTTTATCTGATGAATATATATAAAAAAAAAACACCTTTAAACTTTTGAATTCCCAAAAAAGAATAGGCTGCCCATCATAGTCCTCTGTGCTCCTGGTGGGCATAATATGATATGAATAACTTTAAGTTAGTGGGATGTTTCATCACCAGAAGAAATGAAGTCATTTTATATCCCTTTTACAAAATTGATTTCCTGTCATGTGCCTCCTAAAAGTGTTCAAATTAAGTGTTACTGGGAGACATAAAGAGCTAATTTTGTCATAGTCTGTCTGTAACAGTGTCTGAAGGGATGCAATAAAGGGGAACGAGTTATGGCTAGTTTTCCAGTCATGTAGGCACAGTGACATATTCATTCAGGTTCATGACCTCTTGGATGAGCTCATGAACATTTATTTTCATTGAGATGTGAATCACCTCATAATAGCTTGTTAATTACACACCAACTCACTCCGTTTTCAGATTTCACAAGATGAAGACGTTTTATGATTCACAATCTACAGTGTCTACAGGAAATAAAAGTAATAGCAGCAGCAGTTTAGACCAGCAGATATACTGGTTACATTGTAATGGTCGCTTTTTATGAGGATAAGACTGGCCATCAGCTGACTGGCCATCAGCTGATGAGAAGTATAAGGTCTGTTGTTCCCCGTTATAAAGCTACTCTCTAGATTATATTCACTATGCACTGTAGTACATCCAGTGTGTTACTGTAAATACAACATGTTGAATTACAAGTTTGTTAATGTGATTTCATCATTCATTTCCATTCCCCCTAACCAGATTTTAGTTTTTTTTCAGGAACCACCATTAATGTTTTTGTTGAGTCCAGAGAAAAAGTAAGTTGTACATATCTTAGCAGATTACAATTATTTATTTCACAACCCCCAAGGACCCTTTTCAAAAATAAATATGTCATATTTTACTGTGTATACAGTATATGAGGTAATCAACACAGAGAAGGTTTGCTTTTCTCTTTTGAAAGCGAAATATGTTTAACAACTGGTGACACTTTCTAATCCTATAGAATATAAGATAGTGGCATTTTTTTAAACATAAATAATTACCTATTTGGAATTTTCAAAGGGAAACTCACAGGCATGTGATTGATATACTATACCTGTTGTAAAAACATTCCATATCAAAGTAAAACCATGACTCCTCACCTGAGCAAGTTTACTGTTGAGTTGGCTGCATAGAAAGTGAGTGAGCAGACAGCCAGTCTGTCTTTGATGTCCATGTTGAGTCTCTGGTAGAGAGACCTGGATCTGCTGACTGTGATCATCACAGGAGGAGAGGTTTTTCAGTTTAAGGACTCTCACATCCAACAGTGTTCTGCTGTCTTCTCCACAGGTCAGAGATGAAGCCGATGATCCGAGAACAGAAGATCAGAAACAGTCAGTATACATAATGTTTAGAGGAGTATTGAAAATCTCTAAAAACAAATAATAAACCTAAATGCAGGGTAAAACATACACATATACATCCATAGTGTATGAATTATCAGCCAGCCACATTTAACAGAGCTGAAATCTACACTGACATCAGAGAGCAGCAGCTCAGGCAATGAGCAGAGCTGCCTTTTAAGGGCATGTTCAACAGTGTTTGATTCCCCCTGGTTCTGCTGCTCTAACACTGATGTGAGCATAGTGTAGTACTACAGTAGGTCAAGCAGCATAAAGATTAACATAAACCTCAAGTCAAAGTTTTCTTGCTCAACTTTTACTTTGTTCAATTGGTACTTGCAAAGTAAGTTAAGTTTTTCGTTGTACTTTCAAACAAAGATCAAACGCAAAAATATTTAAATGGGGAAATATACACATTTATTTTAAGCTGTGTCATAATAAATCAGAGACCCAGAGTCAACTTACCATATGCCAGTGTTCCTCGTCCACATTCACAGAAGCCGCTTTACATCAAAGATGTGTTGATCCCCCTTATTGCAAGATTAATAGTCCTTCTCACTCTTCTCACTTTCTTCTGTTGTATCTGCTCTTACTGTGACATGTTGACGTATGAAAATGTGCTTTAAACACACGCAACAGTGACCGCTGATTTTCGTTTCACAATCACTTCTTCCTGCACCTACACTGGTGCAGGAAGTTTTTTTTAGGTTTTTTTTACACAAACAAGTCCTTCAACATGTCTATGCATAGCTGGGGGAATTTGACAGCACAGATGTAGAGCAACTGCCAGAAAAGGTATTTTGAAAAACAATGAAATACTAAATGTTGTCCATTAAACCTTAGGTCTACATATGACCCTTACAGAAGAATGTCGTCATGTCTGATCCTTGCAGTGTTTGCAGTTTATCAACATAAGGCCCATTTCTTAATCATTTGTGAAAGAGGAAGTTTGTTGTCTCTGAGTCAAAAGTGGGTTTCGGACGCTTTGAGAATGAATCTGTGGTTTAGTGCTATGTGCAACGTTTGCACTGAGAATGACCTTTTCACTGATGAGGACAATAAATGCCAAAATAGTTTATATATTAAACAATTAAACAATTTTGGACGTCTAGGGTGTTTTTTTTTACAGCTTCTAAAAGGAAATTGGATGAAAAGTTGGGAAGCAGGAGCCCTTATAATTTAATTTTCCTTTATATTCACATTATTTGAAATGGATTTCTGGTCATATGTCACCGTTAAAGCTTGTAGAGTAAAATAATTTAAGACATGCGCTCTTAACGGAATTGAGTGCACCCCAAATCCTTCCTGGATACTCCAGGTCCAAAGGTTCAACTTGGTTTAGGGTTCGAGGGATTTGGACCCGAGTAAGCGCTCTTAACTTTCTCCCGATATCTGACGATCTCATGCAGACAACAGAACCGCCTCCTTGGCAGTTGCCCTGACAACGGATAAACGATCCCGACAAATTCCCAGCTGTCCTGGCCGCGGTTCCCCAGGAAACAGCTACACAAAATCAAGGACAACATCCGGAAAAGACCCTCCGTCGTCCCTCTTGTCGTCCGAACGTGGAATAACTGCAGAAATAGTAGCCTAAAGTAGAAGCTGTATTTTAAGTTAAGTTCAAAGGTACGCGTATTAAAAGAAAAAAAAACATGACGACCACTTCACTTCCACTTTTAGGAGACAGCGACCCCCGTCTCAGACTGACGGTGGAAAACAAAACAAGAAACATTTTTGTAACACAGTTGGACGACACCAGGTAGGCATGTGTTTAAAACTCACGGCGGAAAACAGTTCAACTTATTTTCTCTTTAATCAACCTACTCTGAATACATTTTTAAAATAAAGAGTGTAACATTTAGTTATTCTCTCCTCAGAGATATGAAAGAGGAAAATGTCAACTACCTACCGGTTGTAACAGAGGTGAGGCAGATAAGTATGTAGTTACAAAAAAAAAAGTGTAATGTCAACTTGTGCATTTATCAGAAATATGTTGTTATTTTAAAAATTACATTTTAGACCATTTTTAGTATATTTTAACTATGGAAAGAGTTTTAAGCAGCTGACATTATTTTCACAAATGCAGACTTCAAGCAGAATTCTTGAGGCAGGAGTAAATACTTTGCAAAAGACCCTGGTCCTGAAGAAACAGGCAGAGTTGGACGAAGTGGACAAGCAGCTGACACTCAAACGCCAAGAGTTTAAGAGAAGTGTGGAGGCTCTGGCTAAGAGAAGATCTGAACTGGAAGTAAAGCAGCAGCAGGTAGTGTAAACTTACTAAAACTACAACCCTGAATTCTGAAGATTCGGGAAGTTGTGTAAAATGTGAATACAAACAGAATGTAAGGATTTTCAAAACATTGAAACCCATATTTCATTCAAATGTTGAAACTGATAAGTGTTGTTGTTTTGAAAAATTATATGCTCTTTTTTTCCCAATTTGACGCCAACACCATGTTGGAGAAGTGGAAAATTGTTAACAAATAAAGGACACCCCATTCTCCAGGCTAAAGAGGAGAGAGACCATCTAGCTTGAAATCAGTGCTCAGTTCAAAAGTCAGCATCCGTGATGGAGGTGCACATGGTATAATGTAACCTGCACTTTTGTGGAAGCTGAACCATATATATATATATTCTGCCAAATAAAATACTTTTTTTTTACCATGGGGGTCTTAACTTATTTCAACATGACAATGCAGAACCACATTCTGGATCTATTACAACAGCATGACTCAGTAATAAAAGAGTCTGGGTGATAGGCTAGCGTTCCTGCAGTCTCAACTTGTCACCCTTTGAAAAAGTTTGGAGTATCATGAAGTTTAAAAAAAGACATAGGAGACCCTAGCCTGTTGAACAGCTGAAATCATACATTAAGCAAGAATACATTCCACTTAAGAAATGACAGTCATCGGTCTGTGATAAATATGACCCTGTCCAAACCTTTTTTGAAACATGTTGCTGGCATCAAATTTGAAACAATTTCCCCTAAACAATTACATTTCTCAGTTTTAACATCTGATAGGTTGTCTTTGTGCATTTTCAATTAAATATGGGGTGTCAATCTTTTGAAAATCACAAAATTATGTTTTTATTTACATTTTACACAATGTCCCAACTTTATTGAATTTGTGGTTGTAGTTGAATGTCTGTCTGACATTTACATGACACTGTCATTTTTCAGGAACCTTTTTTTTTTTTTACATTTTTTTACCCAGACTAAAGACAGGGTGATGAAATTTGAAAAGTTTATGGTGGAAAATGAAGAAAAGCGGCGCGGGGCAATGAAGAAGTTTGAGGCTGCACGAGAGCAGAACATTGTGAAACAGAAAGATATTGAAGATCTGACTGAACAGCTGACACAACTCAGAGCCAGGTGAGGACTTTAAACCAAAGCCTTCACAGTAGCATGTTGCTCATTGAGTCATTCCTCACTTTTCCAACATATCAATTCACAGGCATCACATTTTAAAGGGAAGGATTGCAAAATACAAAATCTATGAAGACTACTTGATGAAAACAATAGATCATTTCCCCAGGAGTAAGTTCAAAACTAACTATGTTACCCATTTGCTCTACTTATTCAACTACACAGTAGTCATAAGTGAAATCGTAACCCATATTTTTATTGCTCAACCTTTTCCAGCTTACCTTGACAATGGGTCTGAATCTTTGGTTATGCCCATCATCCGGCGCCATGAAACCCTTTCCATCACCCACCAGCGTCTGCTGCAGCGCCTGGGTCGTCTGGAGGAGGAGGTGGAGCAGAGCCAGCGACAACTTCAGACCATGAAAAAGGAGCAGAGCATCAAAAAACTGGTAAGAAACACATATTTATCTTGTTAAATGTTTTTCAATTCAAAGTGCTTCTATGAATAAATTGGAGTTTGTATTTGTGTTGCAGAAGGCCAATAAGGAACTGTCTGAACTTCAGAGTGAGTTAGAAACCCTCAAAGAGAAGAACAAGCAGGCAGAGGCTAACCTGCTGATGGAGCAAGGCCTGTCCAGACAGAAAGTATGCCTTCAATATAATGAGTTTGACATTATCCCGAGCCTACTTGCAGAAAGAAAACACAAATAAAATGATATTATATATACCCTCATCACTCAGGTTGAAGGAGTGGGATGCATACTTATGGCAGTTAACAACCTTGCAGAGCAGTGTTATCTTCCTGCATATGGAGCTTTGGAAAACATGAACGTACTTACAAAGATGGACATGGTGAAGGTAATAGCATTAATCAATCACACCAAAATACTAACAATTGTATATTATCGAACCTATTTTAAACTAACCAAAGGTTTCATTTAAGGAGTATATTCTGGACCTGGCTGACACTGAGAAGAGAGCGAGGAGACTAATGGAGTCTGGATCTGCCATGACGAGCAGAACAGCTCTGACAGACAAAAGAGAGAGGGTGTCCATGAAAAGCATTGGCATTAAAACACTTATCAAAAGTTCAAGTAAAGTCAGCAGAAAGAGTGAGGCAACAAGTTGATGCAACTTTCACAATTCATCTAGGTGTTTCTGCTAACAGTTATCTGTGTGTGTTCACTGTGAACATTCAGTTTGGACCTTTAAAGATTTATTTTTGGGGCTTTTTTTGTCTTTAATTGAGAGATAGGTCAGTGGATAGAGTTGGAAATCAGGGAGAGAGAGAGTGCGGAATGACATGCGGGAAAGGAGCCACAGGCTGGATTTGGACCTGGGCCGCCTGCTTGGAAGACTATAGCCTCCATATATGGGGCGCGCGCACTGGCCACCGCGCCACCCCAGTTTGGACCTTTAAAGCAGTAATGTGACTATCTTTAAAAATGTATCAATCATGGAAAATGAGAAATGCAGTTGAACAGTGTTGAACAAGCTACTAAATGATTGCATAACTTTTGTAAACATGATGTGACAAATGTTGCACTTAAAATTTGTTAAGGGTTTGTAAATAAAGTAATTATGTTTGAGCATCAAGACTTGTCAACGTGTGTGCAGGGGGTTGGGGGGGTCATCATTCATCGTTTTTAAACCAAAAGGTCACAATCAAATGCTATGTGTATGCAAAGTTTGTAATTCTTTCAGATTCAGAGTAGAAATTTAAGAAAAAAAACTTAAATGATTAAGAATTCGGAGTTCATGTTAAAATTCTGCATTTAATTTATTGAATATAGTTAATATAAAGCAGCAGAGAAAATCTACCTTTTCTATGAATCAATCTAATTTAATTATCAATCAAACAGAACATCAAACATAAGCAACAGACTCAGAGGAAGTTTGTTTTTTTCCCCAATGTTACCAAACACTGCCGTGCAGGGTTTCTACAGCCTTGTAGTTCCCACAGTAATCAACAATTATGCTGCAATGCTACTCCTCTGTGCAATGTGGTGGAAGTAGCAAAACATGTTTTTTGATGGGTTTTTTTTGTCTGCAATTTGCATTCCTTAGGATTAAGTGATAATTTGGATGTGAAGCTGTTCACTAGCGTTTTTGTTTTCTGTGAACTCCCTCTGCTATTTTAGTTATGCCCTTAACATTTACAGTCTGTGCTCATGCCTCTATTCAGGAGCAAGACGATCACTCGTGTATTGAACTTCAGGATAGTTATGAAGAACACTAGTCATAGCCTAAACTTTAAACTATTGAAAAGGGTTTATTTTAAACCCGTTTTTAAAACCACTTTATTGCAGTTAATAATGTAACACTTGTTACTTGTTGTTACTTTGAAGATGATACATTTTGATGATTTTTAGTTGACCAAATAGGCTCAGCCCCTCCTCTAGCAAGCTCATTGAAAATAATAACTTTATATTATCCTAGGTTAATGTTTTAAGTAATGTGAGCCAAGAGGCTTACGTCTTTTCTTCTAAGTAAAATATTAATATTGGTTTTACTATTAACTAGGCTTTAAAGTAGGCTAGATGTATTAATAAATCAATTTAATAGTTTCATTCAATTAATACAAATTAAGTAATAAAAGGAACCTGAGAACAAAAAACACATCTATTGCCCTAACACTAACGTGCTTAATCTTACAGCCTGTTAAACAGTTTCTACTCTATTGAACTTTTAACAACAGTAGCAGACTATGGTGGTCTGACTACAGCACTAAATTAAACCTGTACTGTCTCTTTAACACGAACACGTGGTACGTGCAAACATCCGGTTTTCAGAAAATGGAAATAACATTGCAACAGTATCTGTGACAACCAGCTTTGACGCAGAGTCTTGCCAAACAGTTTTTCTTTCTAACATGGTTTCCATGCTGTTGAAATGTAAAGATATGTCGTGTGGTGACGCGACCATTGAAGATGATGTAATGGCTGTTTTCTTTCTCGCAAATTGAAACGTAGACTATCGTTGTTCATTTCTCAACAGATGGAGGCTGGCATTCTTGTCTCAAGCAGAGAGGACGTTTCCTCGTTGTTTCCTGAGCAAACGACGGGCCCTAAGTATAAAGTATGCCATTTAGTTGTTGGGGTTATTTACTGCATGTGACCATGTTCATCTCATATTAAACAAGCCTATTGTCCTTTGTTAGGATTTAAGCAGCCAGTTTTCCTCGGTGAGACAAGTGCGTGGGGACGGAAACTGCTTCTATAGAGCCCTCTTCTTTGCACGCTTGGAGTCAGTCCTACACAATGCCAGGGCTCTGCAGAGGTCAGTTATCACTACAGCCTTCTGTGGAAAAATATTGAATATATCTTCAAATTTAATATGAACTTTACTGGTTTCACTTTCAGATTGAAGGAGAAAATCACTCAAACCTGCCAAGACTTTACTTCTGCGAGATTTGATAAGAGTTCTTTTGAGCACCATCTGGACACAGTAAATAATGCATTTTCTGATACATTCATAACATTTACGTTGTTAGAGAAATAGTGTTTGGACAACCAACAGGAATTGCATTAAGCCTGAGTGATGTTTTTCTTTTGGCCTGCCTAAAGTGCCTGTGATGATTTTTAGGTTTGAGTTGGTTTTGGCGCCCTCTGTGGACAAAGAAGTAGCCCACCTTCTACGTCTTTGCAGATTTTGTCCTGTATTTGCATGATATTGTAACAATTTAGCCCTGCTTTGCATAGAGAGTAAATAAAGACTGTTTCAGTAGCTTGCTGTTAATCACATGGTCTGGCATCTGGAAAACAAATGAAAATTCCCAATTATGATCAATATGGAAATCTGTAAACAGCTGGAATGATCACCATGTAGGAAGTGTTGAACATTTTAAGGAGAAAAGTGAAATAGACTTAAGGCCAAAAAAATCTGGACTGTCGTGAAGGTCCTCAGTTTTTCAGATTGTCCCATTATAAAGGTTTAAGTATCTTAATTGGAGCTGATCACACCAAAAGCCTTCTATATCGACACTTTAGAGTCAGTAATGTGCTTTAAAATCTACAGGTAAAGAAAACCAAACCTTTCAATCACTCTTGTAGAATAACTAAGGATATCTTTTGTTTGTTTTACTTGAGTGTGAAAAATACCTGACTTTTTCCTCTTCTTTTGGAGGTTGTAAATGTTGTCGAGCAGTGCCTGGCAGACATGCAGGAGGACCGGCTGCTCCAGCTCTTTAATGATCAGACGACCTCTGATGGCGTGGTGCAATTTCTCAGGCTGCTCACTTCAGCACACCTCCAAAACCATGCAGACTTCTTCTGTAACTTCGTAGAGGCGCCAAACCTACAAGTCTACTGTCAGCAAGTAAGTCACTAAGTGTTTTGCTGCCATCTAGTGAAAACATTATTATTATTTTTTTTTACTAGACAGTCATCTGTTCAAGTTGTTACAAATAATATTCAGAAAATAGTAAAACTTTGGGTGGGGTAATGAGTTTGTTCCCTTTCTACAGGAGGTGGAGGCCATGGCAATGGAGAGTGATCATGTGGACATCTTAGCTCTTTCACAGGCTCTGGATATCTGCATCCACATCGTCTCTATGGAGGGAGATGAGCATCAGTTGGCTCACCACATCATTCCAGAGGGGGCCGAACCTTCAGTGCACCTCCTCTACCAGACATCACACTACAACATTCTCTACCCAAGGCCGCAACATTGACCAGTGATCCACAAGGACTCTGCATGACTCAGGGACATTCATTTGCAGTGGGGAAAAAAATCAATTAAAAAAAAAAATCAAGTGAGCTTCCGGACACTCATTTTTTATAAAATCTTGCAGTGTAAACAGTTAGATGGCACAATAATTATTTAAATGAATCAAACTGCCATGTAAAAATAATACATACATTCTGTCAAAGAATTAAATGTTTTCTGTTACATGTCACTGTTGTTCTTTCTTTTGCGTTTTCTGCTTTAATCGGGCACCTCTCTTTAACGCCTGTTTCTTCCCCTGTAAAGAAACGCTGGTGAGGGCACTCTCCTTCCCAGCCAGAGGCAGGTTAGGCAGGGAGAGCTTTCCCATCTGTGTTGGGTACTTGGTCTTAATCGTGTTCTTGAACACTGTCTGGGAGATCAGATGCTTCAGATGCTTTTTCATCCCTTTCACCATCTTCTGCTGCTCTCTGTCTGCGTCCTCATCCTTTGCTCCGCCTGCGGACATTGATAGCATTTGTAGTTGTTTGTATTTGCATTTTTTAAGCAGACTAAATATGCTACAAAAGATTTTGTTTTACCGATTAAAAGATCATCATCCAGGTCCACCTCTAGGGCCTCTGCAGCCTGTCTGAACCAGGAGTTATGATGCTTCTGTCTGCTGTTGTGGAACTCGATCTTCTCTATCTGTCTGGCCAAGTTTACTCGCTCCTGTGGAGGGACGATCTCGACAGTTAACATCAAATATAATCTCTTTAGAGTCTCAACAACACAGTAGACCTCAGTACTGGGTCTCACCTTGATTGCTTCCATGCATTTGGTCTCGATGGGGAACATGGGGAGGTCCTCGTCTTTCCCGAGAGTCTTGTAAATCTTTTTGAAGTTCATCATGTCGTCTGGGCCTATCAGTAGCAAACTGAGACCCTCTTTGGTGGCTCTCGCTGTTCTGCCGCTTCGATGTATGTAGGTCTCAGATGTCCTGGGGACCTAGGTCATGTCACATTTGATTAGTTGACTTGTTCGTAGGCCAATGATACTTAAATTAAAACAATGAGTATCAGGATTTAAATGAAAAATAAACGCTGTAGACAAGTCCCTAAGGTTTACCTGGTAGTGAATAACATGCTGAACATTGGGAATATCCAGTCCTCTGGCTGCCACATCTGTAGTTAGCAGGATACAGCTGTGAAGGAAGAAATAATAAATCAATACAACAGAATAATGTAAGTGGTTGAATCTCTGTGAGATCAAAATATAAGATTCCTTATATTTGAATGCACAGGCCAATGCGACCGACCAGTAAATAAAGATTCTTTCTGTCACATTTAACAATTTCAAAATCAGTTAGGGAATTTATTTCGCTTTACAAAACTGCTCATTTACACAATTGTGAATAAAAATGTATCCTTTAAGCATGTGTTTATGTAAAAACTAAATGATAGAATCTAGGCCTTTTCTTGCATATACGTAAATACCCATAAGCTCTTCGCTGTATTTAACATGGTTTTATCTTTCTTTTATAGGGTCATAATAACTAAATAAGTATAAACCTTGACCTAATTCTTTGAGATTGTTTCTGCAGCTGTATACAAAGCTCACCTCTCCCTCTCAGCAAACCTCTCCAGGTTTTTGAGGCGTTGTTTCTGGTGCATGTTAGCATGAAGGGGCAGTGGTGTAATGTCCAAAATAACCAGCAGGGAGTTCAACCTCTTGATACAGTCTATACTGTTAGCGAACACCATGGTGCGGCCTGGATACTGCAGCAGGAAATAGTAAAGGTAGAAGTCCTTCTCCTCCTTCTGGCAGTGGATAGTGGTCTCTATCAGGGTCTCCACAGTTGCCTCCTTCCTGGTGAGGTCAACAATTTTTGGTTTGGACTTGATCCCCACTTTCTCCATGAGTATTTCAAGCCTGCTCCTCTTGTCAAGGTTCTTCTTCTTCTTCTGCAGGAGGCGCGTTGGCAGGCTATGAGCCATCGTCAGCGTGGCTGAGAAGACAAATGTTTGTCTCATGGGATTAAAGTGTACCGTGTTCAACATCTCCAGCAGACTCTCCAGCTCTGCAAAGTGGCCTCGCTCTACCATGCGATCTGCTTCATCAATGACCAAGCACCTGAAGAAAAAAAACATGAGCAGAGGGAGATATTGAAGGGTAGAATGAAAATCACCAATAATACTACTGATGCTGCTAAGATACACATGCAACTCAGACAAAGTAGAGTTAAAAAAGATTGTGTCATTTTGGCTGTGAAATATTTTTGCTTCGTCCTCTGCTTGTTGTTAAAAGAGGAATGCACAGGGACACCACCTACAAATAGCTATAATGTTTCTACAGTCAATGATAGGACCTTTTGATTAATTCATCCTGATGTTTTATTTAAGACCCTATAGGACATTTATATTAAACTAAAGTTGTGTCTGTGTTTAAACCCCTTAATGCAGAAGTCGTTACAGAGCTTTTCAAGTAGAGTTTACATTGTTCTTTGGTTGAATCCTGTTTAATCCCACTTCACAAGAAAACTGGTTGTTGTGCTTCCTCCTGACCAATTTACAAAACTTCAAGAACCCAAACAAATAACACAACAAATGAGACGATGACGAGAATCCAGTGCTACAGTTTACTGACTTTACTGAATTATGTGATCATATATTATTTTTTTTCCAAACGGTCACGACTTTAAGTCATTTCATCTTTTGAATAAGATAGATACTCTGTAGTTTTACATCAGCCTAATCTGAAAATGTGACATTTAAGATTGTTGCATTTGATAGGTGTGTATTTTGAACATGCTTTAGGGTACATTGTTTCAGTCCAGTTGAAACACCTGAAATATCATTCAACTTCATCTTGCTCTTAATCAATTAAATCATTTTTCAAATATGCGTTTGGGTTGACTGGTTTATTATAGTAATTATCCAACAGCCAATGATATTAGCCAAATTCTATTAACCAACAACTTGTTTTCCTCACCAGTTCAAAGTGAAGAAAACACACCATACATGGTCAGTGCTGTTTAATGTTCCCACACGAATGGTAACAAAAATATTTAAATCATTTTTGCCGTTTGCAGTTGATTTCCAATTTCTAGAAATGTCAACTACTGGAAAACTGGCAACAATTTATGTTGATATATAATAAAAAATATATAATTGTCATTATGTAAATAATAAATAACATATTTAAATAATGTTAAATAACATTACTGCAGTCGTTGTTCTACATGTGTGATGACCTTTATCAGATGATTTATTGAGGTACAATGCGACTTAGTGTAGTGACAAACATTTTTTGTTTAACCGGGTTTTTAAATTTTGCACAAACTAAACCTACAATATACTGATCTCTGAAAACAAAGGATTTAATTTTGCATGTTGCAAAATCCAAACGAGACAGGGTTTGAATTGTGACTCACCTGAGCTGTCTCAAGTTCAGCAGGTGTGGATGCCTCTCTTTGATCAAGTCCCACAGACGTCCTGGAGTGGCAATAATGATCTCTGGTCTTCTCTTCAGCATTCGTCTTTGTTTCTGTTGAGCCATACCACCCACCACGATCGCTGTTGTGATATCTGCAGAAAAACAACAGCTTCATGGTTGACATTCAGAACTTTGTACAACTGATTCAGAAAGACATCACTAAGCTTTAAGAACGTACCTGTGTATTTTGCAACAGCATCAATGTGGTGTTTGACCTGAACAGCCAGCTCTCTGGTCGGAGTGAGCACCAATCCGAGCAGAGGCTGACTCCGCCCACCAGCTGTTTGTTCTTCATCTTCAGCGTCGGGGTTAATGTCAACATCTGTATTTTCGATTTCCTGAACACACCTGAGTTTCACATCATTATCTTTTTCTCCAAGGCCATCATCATCTTCACTTTCATGTTCGCCTGAGTCGCTGTGATCCTGCTTCGTGATACGTTCACTCTCCTCTTCCTCGGCCCCCACTTCCTCCTCCTCCTCGTCTTCTGAGGACTCCTCTACAGATGGTAAATACAAACTCTCAACCTTTGGGGAAGCTTCGATGTTATCATCCAGAGGCTTTTCTGAACCGTTCCTCCACTCCAGGATGGCGTGAATCATAGGAATGCCAAACGCCAACGTTTTCCCACTTCCTGTAATGACAGCGCTCACATTAGGCTCACTTACAGAACTATTAGCACCGATTTTTACTGGACAAAAGAGCAAAGAGTGTTTTATCTTACCTGTCTCAGCCGCCCCCAGTATATCCATCCGATCCCTGATAGCGGAAGGCAAAGTAAGAGCTTGAATAGGGGTTGGTGATCCAAACCCAAGACTGCTCATTGCATTTAGCACAGATGAGGGAACAAACAGATCCTTCCATGCACTCATGTCAACGTTTTTGCCATCAGAGCCAGAGCGAGCTGCATTTGTCCAATTTTTCTGTTGCTTCTTGGCGGGCTTTGCTGCTTTGTCTCGAGTGGATTTTTCTTCTTCCACGGCTTGAAGTTCTGATGGAGACTCCTGGTTTGGCTCGGCGTCTGGGGTTTCATCTTCTTGCTGTTGCTTCTGTTTTTTTCTATTTTTCTTCCTTTTCTTGACATTCTTTTCTTGTTTTGTTTCAGCATCAGGTTCTGAGCGACTTATTGTATCTTTTAAAGTATCCTTTTCTGCTGTTTCCTCTTTCCCTTCAGTCTCGCCTGGAGCTACGACCTCCTGTGTAACATCTGAAGAAATGTCATCTTGTTGCACTGATTCCTCTGCAGCCAGTTTCTTATTTTTCCTCTTCTTGGCTTTTTTCTCGACAGGTTCACCCGTTTCCTCCTCCACTTTGACAGGTTCTGCCTTTTCCTCCTCCACTTTGCTGTCCACAGCCACACTAAGTCCAGTCTTTTCTCCCTCGCTGGCTTTCCTTTTCTTCGCCGCCTTCTTCTTCTTCACCTCCTCCTTCTTCTTCTTCTTCTTCTCCTCCTTCTTCTTCAGTTCTCTTGCTGCTTTAGCTGCAGCCTTTTCGGAGTCAACCAGACTGTAACTTTCCAGCTCCTCAAAACACACCAGACCCTCCAAGCCCTCCTCAGAAAAGAGACTGGGATCCAGCGCTACAGCTTTCCAGCTCCCTTTCATGTGGACGCTCCGTTTGGCTTTTTTCATCAGCCCGGAGGACACACGCTTGTTTGTCGGCCTCATCTTCTTTGTCTTCATTCTACCTACAATCAAACCGAGTTAGTTCAACTAGTCACACTGCTTCACGTTAACAAAAAAAACTGGTTAAAGCGTGTGGGTAAAAGTGAGCCAGCTACATCAGCTGTGCAGCGAGGCACTCACACTGTTATCAAAATGCACTCAGTCATATGTCACCACAATGCTACATTAATAACCACACACACTTTTTTTTTAATTAAAGACAACGTAAAACTGCAGCTCACCTGTCTGTGGTTTTAAGAAATGTCAGTATGCTGTTCCAAACGATACCGTCCACGCACGACACGAGGGCGACGCCATGACAGTGTTGGTCACGTGGTTTGAAAAAACTTTATTTGTCCAACAACACTTGACGTCACACTGGTTTCTTTCCTATAAGGGGAAAAAACATAACTTTCAACTGTCTTCGGAGGTATACCTTATATTTGTTTTATTTTATATCAAAACATATTAATTACCCTCTAAAGCGTTGCTGGTGTTGTCAGATTGTTAATTGAACGCTACTAATAGAAAATGGATCTTAAAACAATGATTGTGTTTTTAATGTTAATGAATATGTTTCATTTCTTTCCCAGAGTCACAGGTTAAATTATGAGCTATTTAAGGACTTTGCTAGACTGTGTAAAACTCAAGATCATCTTTTTTTTTTTTGTCCAGGTGTATAAATCCAAAAAGTAAAATGTGTAATAAATTATCCTTTTTTGGAAGTGTGGATGTATTTGATACCTTATTCATTTTTTCATTATATGGAAAGTGATTAAATTACTTTAATCCAATTTAAATAAATAAAAAGTGATTCAATTACTGTGATGCTTTCATGTGTTTTCCCACCACAGTGCTCATTTAGTATGCATTTGCACACATCACCATTTGTGAAATCTAATTATTTTTATTAAATACGAAAAAAAAAAGCATTTTTATTTAAATTCTTTATTCATATAGATCTAGGTAATATATTCAGGCTTACTAAACAGACAATTAGAAGCATTTCAAAGCTAAATTTAACATTTAAAATGCATCAAAACAGTTTTTATAGCCTGAATAAAGAAAATGTGCAAGCACTTCAAAACTCAAACTGCACAGTGTACTGTTAGTTTTTGGTGGGGTCAATCACTCTGCCCATGAACAGCAGACAGTTTGTTTTTTCGTGGTATATGAAGAAGGAAAAGGGTCTGTTGACGGTGAAGGTCCTGGGTAAGGAATATGGAGTAATGCTGATTGTGGTGGCAGCTGCTGCAGTGGTCCCCTTCTCATCCACCTCAATCACTGCCTTGTGCAGCACCTGTGATAATACACTCAAGTTTAAAACCATCATCTTTGACTTATGTAAGATATATGTTGCAATAGCATCTTTAAACTGAAAATGTAACCTCAGACACTTTGAGTCCTTTGTTCTTGCTCAGCTTCGTCAAATTGGCTGAATTACTGAAGATCGTGGCCATGCCCATGTGTGGGAGAAGGTTATGCAGAGAATACGACTCTTCCATCTTAAATTTTGGCATGATCACTTCCAATTTGCTGTAGGAAAAAAAATGGGCAGACATGTTGAGATGAATAACTTGTTATCTGTCTTTGCAGATGTTTAATATTACTAATTTTCCATGCTCATGCTTACATTTTGCGCAGATTTTTGATCCAGCTGAGGAACCTCTCAGCAGTAATCTCTTCATCGATCACAGTGTAGTCCGTGCCTCTGTTGGGGAGCAGGACAAGCATTGAAACACCTTCCTGGTATGGTAGCTTCAGCCCTTTTACACCAAGAGACATGTCTTCCATCATGTAGAACTTATCCTCCATAAACATCATCGGCACTTGCACAACTTTGTAGTTGTCAATGTAGAAGGGAGCGTTGTCAGTGTAGTTTGGGTTGAAAGGCTTCTGCCAGGTCCCTGTCAAAGACATAGTATTTTTAGTTTAAATTTGGCAACAAAGAATCAAATGTCACAACACAAATGAGAGCCAAAACTCTTATTAACACACAAGATAAAGTTCTACACAAGGGTTATTCTCCTTACCTTGGAAGAAAATTGTACTTATTAGCATGAGCTGGGTTGCTGAATCCAGACTGGAAATCATATCAACCACCTTGCCCTCAGTCTTGTTCTGGATATACTCATTGATGATTCTAATGCTCTCTTCTGTGTTGGCAAAGTCTAAACTTTTGATATCAGCGTCAAAAAATGTCTTGATCTGGTGTTCGAATATCTTTTCTACCTCAAACTTTGGCCGCATAAACAGGGCCATGCTCTGGTCCAGTTTCAGTGAGCCGTTCTGTGTGATATTCTCATTGAGGAGCTGGAAGAGTTTCGGGATGAGTTCTGGCTGATCAGCCTGATCCAGCTGCTCCAGGTTGAGTCCCTTCAGTATTTCCTGATGTGTGACACCATTCGAGGCCATTGAGAGAGCAGCAAAGCCGTTTGAGATGCTCAGAGGGGAGAAAAAAATGTTCTTGTCGTGGTAGCCTGATATCGTTCTGTAGAGGGTCATGGCACAATCCATATTTTTGAAGGAGAGATCAGAGATTGTGGCATTTAGAAGCGATGCTTTGTGGACAGGAGCAAGGAAGCTCATGTAGGTTACAATAAAAATAAATCTAATCTTCATTTTGTGTATCGCCATCTTTTTGATTCTGGTCGGGTTTGGGAGCATAACCTGAAGATGAAGACATGTAGATGTCAAAACACGCGAAGAGTTCCATTAAACCTTTACTAAATACATCTAAAAATATTTACCCCTTATTCTATTCCCGTTACACACAAATCCAAATGAAAAATTCCATTTTGTAATTCAAACAAGAGATAACAGATTGCGATAAATACTCTTTCACAAATAAATAACCGTGATACGTACCATTCAGCTTGGGCAGGAATGCGTCTGAAAGCTCCATCTCTTATTTGGTGAAACAAAGTGCAAGTATGCTCTGGTATTACACATTAACCACATGTTGTGTTGTTCCAGATGGCGTCAGCGCTTTTTTTTTTTTCTCTTTCAGACTGATTTCCCAAGTGTGATAATAACTGCGAACCAACATTTAAATTTAAAATAATAACACGAGAAAATTTAGGAGGAGTGAATGTCACTTTAATCCCGGAACAAGAGCGTTACATTAAATAAAACAATGTGCTATGGTGTCATGTGATATTTAACAAAAGTAATGAATACTTTAAGAATGTAGTGAGTGAAAACAATGTAAAGAGAAAAAGCCAGCTATACTATGTCACAAGTGTATTTAAAATAGAAAATAAAAGCCTAAATGGATCAAAAGGACGGGGGGGGGGGGCTGTGGTTGATGCTGAATACTTATTGTGTCCAAGCCAAAACAGTCCCTTCTGTTTTTTGAACTAAGCTGAAGCTTGAAAACAAGGTGTGTACAACTCATTTGTGCTACATTGCTCTGAGTATAAGCGGAATACAAGATTAGTGAAACGTGTAGAACCCTGAAAGGGAGGAGGATCATTTTTTGTCTTATCTTTATTTAAATGATTCCTTTAATGTTCATGAACAACACTGAGAAAGAGAAACAACAGCTGGAGTCTTGGTACTTGGTATTGCAGACTGGTGGGACTTTTGGTTTTGGTATCAAGGGATCATACTGCTGGAAGAATACAGTGTATTTATCTATATCTGCAGGTTAATGGTTCTTACAGTACGCTTCTTTGTTCCCCCATAACATGTCAACTTATTTCAGACAAGATGTGAAAAATATGCATCAATGAAAGCATGTTAGATGTAGGAAATAGCTCTATAGAGGGATTTGTTCACCCTCTGCTGGAGATGGACAAAACATCCTGAAATCAAGAGTGGTACTATTGTACATTATTCATAATGCCTATTTATACACTTATAGGTAATAATAAAGCCACAACACTGGAATTGCATTGTTGCCCCAAAACCTTCAGAGTTCACTCTTGGGCATCCACGAGGAAAACGATTTATGATGTGAGGAATAAATGACCAACGTATGTTGCTAGTGCTAGTGGCTACGAGATATTTCAGAATGTAGCAACACAAATTGATTTTAAACTATAATAGTGTTCTGGAGGGTCAAGCAGTGGAATTATATAGTCCATGTTCTACAAACGCAAGTCAAAAATATCAGATTTTATATATGGCCCTAACATAAGTGTCCTTTCACATAACACCAACTTCTGTATGTATTTACCCTTACACAGGTAATCACCCTTTGTATGTGGATTCCTCTCTATCTCATCAAGGGGGAAAAATAGAGAATAAAAAACAGTATACAATACAAATAGAAGGCGCCATGGTAAAAAGGCAATTGCAAACTTGGTTTAACTGCATCATGAGTTCTGTGGTCACCCTTTTCCCAGTGTCAGTGCCTCAGTTAGTTATATTAAACTAACTCCTGCCTTTTCTTTGTCATTGATCTCTTCTCTAAAGCCACTCAGCGAACTAACCAGGGGAACATGTCAGCCTTCTGACTGTCCATTATGTTCGCATGTGCAAAAGGTTAGAAGAAGGAGCAAAGCCAACCCCTGTGAGGGGGTTGCCAATTCAGGCAGCTGGTAAACAACGCAGGCAAACCTTTCACAGCTTCACTGGCTGGGCTTTTGTTGTTGTTGTTGTTGTTGTTGTTGTTGTTGGTCCTGTTCAGAGACAGTGTTTACAGAGCCTGGAAGAAAAAAAGAGGGGTTTTCTTTATTGACTTTATAATTTTACTATAGCCCTTTTTTGTTAGTAGAGCTAATGAAATAGTCTGAACTTCATATATACCTAAACGTATTGTACTTACTTGACCCACCTGTTGATATTGCATCTGGTTGTTGAGGAATGTTTGATTGAGCTTGTTGCTGTTGCCTGAGAAGTACATAGACAGATTTTGTATCAAAATACATACATTTTATTTTCTGCTAGCTCAAAGGAAGTGGAGTCAATATAACTAATACTTCAATTAACTATTAACATATATTACATCAAATGCAACAAAATGGCCTAAAGAAATCCCACTGAACTGTTCAAACTAAAATCTCTGATCAAAGCTGTCTTCAAATTTCTACCATAAAATTGAACATCATTAAATTTCAAGAAGTTACAGCATCTGGAAAGACAGTTGAACTGCACTGCATATAAGTGATATACTGTTGTAATTCGACCTCCCTCTCTTCAGTAGTCGCCCAGCAAGCAGTTAAACTTACCGGTCAAAATAGGCTTGTCTTCTCTTCCGCAATTCTTCTGCTGTTAGCGCCTCGTTCTGGCCTTCTCTTTGTGCTCCAGCATTGCTCCCCGATTTCACGTTTCCCATTTCAGACTCCGAGGGCTTGTTGCTCATCACAGCTCCTTTATTATTGAAAAGAAACACAAACCCATTTTCAGTAATGATACTTGTAAGACACAAAATGACGATACATATTCAATTCAAACCTAGTTCAAATACAGTTTTTGAAAGAAAAAAACTCATTAAGATTATGGTTTCATGGTTTTTAGCTTGATTCATTTTGCTGTGTCTGATATGATGCAAGTTAATCATAAACATTTTTATACTTTTGATTGGAATCTTGACAAGTGTCCAAATAATGATTAATACCTTTGGATGACTCATTGTTCTTTACCTTGCATGCTGAGCTGTATGGCCCTTCGAAGATCAGCTTCTTCATCTTCCACGTCGATGTCCTGTCTGCTGAGTGCCAAAGCTCTCTTCAGCTCATCATCGTCATCCACAACCTCTTCCTCCACACCAAAGCTCATCTCCGTTTGGTTCAGAGCTGCAGACCTGCTGCTCACAGAACAAGGGTTAATCAATTACCAAATATGCATTTGAAGCAATGAAACAAAAAATAAGGTACATGTTTCGGTGTATGTTTAAGTCCTGATTGTACTGACTGCACTTATAATACACACCCTGCACTTGATTGAGCCTCTTCTTCTCCAATAAGCCTTGGTCTCTGCTGCTGCTGCACTCTCATGATCCCTAGGATCTGCTCTGCTTCACACTCAGGGAGGTTTCCTCGGATCACAAATATGGAATAACCTGGAAAAATACAGCATTTATCATTGTATGTCTTAACTGCAACATCCAAACATAACATAAATAACAGTCAAGTTTACAATACCTTCCTGTTGTAACTGTGCAAGGAAGAGGGCTAGATAGGTGTCCGATATCAACTCTGGTCCAGTCAACAGAGAATTCAGGTTAAACCACTGCAATGAAAACAGAAAAAGTGTTTTTTTTTTTAAGTGAATCAACTTAATTAACTTGTTGATGATGACAAATTCCTCATACTTGCTGTCCAAGTTTGCGTATAGTAAACCAGTGCTCCTTGTAGTTGCAAATAAAGGCTTTCTCATTTCTGAAAAACAGCAAGAAGGGCAAGTTTTCATAACTAGCTTGAACTATTAAGCAGTAATAAGATGTATATTATTACAAGTGTTGACAAAGAAACCTTACATTGGATTAATCATCAGGCTCTGATACTCTCTGCTGTTGAAGAGGATTAACTCCAAGCCCCACACTCTCAGAGCATTGCTAATTACCTAAAGGAATAAAACAGCAACAGGAGATTTATTTTGTAAACTTTCAATAGTTACTGAGCTATTATCAATACATTATATGAAGTGAATCGCTTAAACTCACTTGAATTGAAAAGAACCCGCTGTCGTCCATGTTTCCAGATGGTTGCTGACGTAGACAGAAAAATAACCAGCTGAATAATGGCATTAATGGATAAACTGCTTCTTTAACATTACAATTCTTGGTCTCCTCACCTGTAAGAAGGTCCTATACTCCTCACTGCCCATACCTCCCTCAGCCATCCTCATCCTCTCCTCTTCATCAAGCTGATGGGCGATGGAGGACAGATCCACAGGAGTGAAATACTCACCCTGCAGGAGGTTGTTGAGACAGTGTTGGGCACAAAGAGAGCCCTCTTGCTACAAAGACAGAAGTAATTACTGTTACACAACACTTAACATTAGTTAAAAACACTCAACCCCTTGCTCTAAACAGATAAATTAGCCCCATGGCCACGGATGATCTCATAACAAAGTGGTTTGTTTTGGTCTGTGCACACGGTAGCAGTCACACTTCAGTGAAGCTACAAACAGCTAGCTTACGCAAAACTAATCTTTAATACTTCTCATGAAACCAATTTGCTAATTGAAGCTAATTCGTTTGCTTATCTAACAAAAATAACTTGCCTTCAACTGCTTCACTGCTTATTGTTGTTACTCTTAACTGTAAGGTAACTTTTTTTTTTAATAACATCTGACTAGCAGGTGCAGTTAGCATTGTAGCTGTGTGGACAACAATACTCCCAAACACAACCTCAAATCTATTAACTACGGCCAGACAGCGTCGGTCAATAAGCCACTTCCTGGAGGGCAAAGGCTTTCTTAATAAACACCAACAATACCTTACAGCTACTTGTTAACTTTAACGTTTTAACTTACTTTTTCATGAAATATGGAATCCATATTCAGCTCTCTGTCAAACATTCAACTCTGACCTCTAGTCCCGCTGCATTCATCACCACGGAATGACGGGACAATCGTGAGTAGCGCCCCCTAGTGGCCGGCGGCCTTCACAGCATCATCTTTATTTAGGATAGGATAGGATAATACTTTATTGATCCCCAGAGGGGAAATTCGGGCGTTACAGCAGCACAGACAAGAAAGCTCAAATACACATTAAACAGAATAGATAAGATAAATAAAAATAAAAATAAAAATAAAAACAGTACAAAATGAATGATGGAGTTAACTGGGGGGAATTGAGAATTGAGACAGTATTTGCAGAGAATGACAAGATAAAGTGACAAGTGATTAAAGTGACTTGGTATTTAACACCGCAGAGTACATTACAAACACTGGTCGCTGGTGACCGCCTAGAGAGCAATTAAACCACTATATATAGCAACTCAAATTGTTTTATTTTGTTAGATTTGTTCCCATACTATGACAATATTAACCAGAAATATAATACATAGAGGCAAAACACTTTTTTTATTTTTTTTATTTTTTATTTATTTGTTAGGGACAGTGCATTTTAATGTAACAATTACAGCTGTAAAAATGCCAGATTATAGCAGAAGTGCTAGTTTCATGTCTCATGAGTTCTGTGGTCACCCTTTTCCCAGTGTCAGTGCCTCAGTTAGTTATATTAAACTAACTCCTGCCTTTTCTTTGTCATTGATCTCTTCTCTAAAGCCACTCAGCGAACTAACCAGGGGAACATGTCAGCCTTCTGACTGTCCATTATGTTCGCATGTGCAACATGTAAAATACAAATACAAAGGCACAAGTGCAACAAGACAATAATAGAGGTTAAAGGTTAAAGGTGGTCACAGACTTGGTTTTCTTTTATCCACTGTTTGAGGTGTGTTTTGAAGGTTGCATACATTTGTGAGTCTCTTATTGTGAGTGGGAGAATACTCCAATATTTAGTTCCTTTGACTGACAGAACAGTTTGTCCGAATGTAGTGCGTCTGTGTGGGACCTCACAGTCTCCTCGGGCTGTGGCCCCTGGTGCCGATCCCACTGGCAGACTTCAGCTTTACAAAGTCCATCAAAGGAGGAGGATTAAGTCCGTGCAACAACAAAAAAAAATATATAAAACATGCATTTTTAAAATTAACAAAATTATGAAAAATTATCTAAAACAGTGCAGTGGTGAAACGAAAATGGCTTTTTGACCAAATAGTTCCAATAGTTGTCAAATCATGGATGCACAATTTTACATGCGGCCACCAGAGGGCAGGTTCAGCAGAAATATTTGTTTACAAATCTTTTTTTTTTTTTTTTTCAGATCCATGATTAGGACCTGAGGCCAAATCTTTAAATTCGTAATCGTTTTAAATTAGCGCTTTCTTCTCTTGTTTTATTAACCAAGATTGTTGTTTACGTTTCTGACATTTCTAAGTTTGTCCTATAGCAGCGTCGCAAAAGGTGCTCGATTACAAGGGGAGCAGTCTCCTGGTGACATCTCCTCCTTTACGGCAAATGGAATATGGCGGAGGGTGAGAAACCCCAAGACGGACTGTGGCTCAGCAAGGTATGAGTTTCTAATAGCCTTTAGAGCTGACAGCAGGTACTGACACTCAGCGACAAACACTAAAGCACAACGCGTTTGTTGTTTTGTATAATACAGCCCGACGTACAGTTAAAGGACATCTACTTACCAAGGCTAACATGCGCTGTTAGCTCCTGTGCTAGCTATTTTAATGGTAGAAGAACTGTCTCTTCAGAGGCTGCAGTTATAATTGAATATCACATCAACAGTAAGTTGATGCAGCTGGACAGCAAATAAAAGTCGTGAACGCTTTGTTTGCATTCGTATTTTGTGAATATATGGCAGTGTTAGTGTGTTAATGTCCATCCTTTTGGTGTTTTTGGTGACCGCGTCCTTTGCGCTAAAACAAGAGAACCAGTCCTGTCTGCTCCTGCAGCTCTAACACTATTATTGTTTACTTTGTGAAAGTGAAACTGGCCTGCTCATAGATACTTATGCTATTAATCGGCATGACTACATTAAATGTAACAAACACAACCAAAAATAATTGTTTGAAGAATATGTGTCCTATTAAACCTGTAAAGTCACTCATATGAAATTGCCATCTTGTGCAACTCCACTTGCAATGTGCATTACAGCATGAGTGAATTAAAAAGGAAATGTATCGGTGTTTTGTTCATTAAACATGGAATAAATGCGTTAGAAATACAAGTATGTGGTAAAACACTGTTTAAGGCTCTAAAGTTATGCACAGCTTTGATGTGAATCAAAGCAGTAGCTTCATGAATATGGATGTTTGTGTTGTTCATTTAAAAACAAATAAATCCTTCAGATTGCACCCTCCTCTGGGTGTGATTAGGAAGACAGTGTTTTCTATCAATCAAGCAATCTTTTCTTTTACATCGTCAGTTCATAACAAATGTTATCGCAGTACACTTTTACAAAAGACCTTACTCTTTGTTTTATTATCTACAAAGAGCCAACATTAACCCGTCACGAGCACAGCACTAATAAACAACATTTAGCAAAGTTACATTTGAAAGGAGAAACAGCAGGCAGAACCAGACTCATGTTGAACAGCCGTCTGCCAAAACTGTGTTGGGCTTGGAAAGAGGGAGACGCAGGAAGAAGAAGGACAGGACAAACAGAGCATCAGCTACAAGGAATAAGATTAAACATACAGCTTAATGTCAGTAATAATGGTAAAAGTATTTGTAGTAGTAGCAGTAACGTTAGCAACTGTAATCACGATGAAATGGGGAGGACTGATTATGTTAATTATAGAGGTTGAAGTTGATGTTTTCTTGGTCTACTGGTTCTACCTTTTTACATGTAAAGAAGACAGTACATATTGATGTCATTCATATTGATTAACTTAGAACACTGAAAAAAGATGGATGGTCATTTTGAATTGTGCTTAAACTATAATATATCGACGGTTTCACTATTTAAGCTGGCTGCTCCAGCAGAAAGTAGAAAAGAGGAAGTGTGACCGATTCCTTACTGATAACACAAGTTAATAAAGACCAAGCTCAAGCTTTTTGTTCCTACTACAAACTTATAACGAGAATCAGCATGAAATCTCTATTTAGTGGGAGCATCAGCAGTCAACACATGAAACACATCTCTTCATTCATTACAAAAGTTCTTTCTGCATCATATGCCATTAGACTTTAACTTTGTTGTTTTTAAATGCCAACATGATGAATGGCAAAGATTATACTATTTTTGGATTTGTTACTATGACAATAGTGGCTTTGGTACATGTGGTTTTGTATCAAGATGTGGAAACTGATGTGGTGTGTCACTGCAGAATAACTCATTCTTTCCACTGCTTTTTTGCAGAAATGGCTGGAGGCTGCAGACAGCAGAGCGGAGCTTCTCCGCTACCTGAAGGAGCAGGTGCCGCAAATCTTCTGTCTGAAGTCAGAGTCCAGCCCCCAGGAGGAAGAGGAGCTCACACAGAGCCGACTTCTCCATCCGCTAGAGTGTTTCCTGTTTGGAGAAAATCCTCAGGAGGGTCTGGAGAAGCTCAAGCAGGGCAGCAGCTCCTCCCAGCTGTGTGGACGCGTCTTCAAAGAGGGAGAGACTGTCTACTCATGCAGGTCTGAAAAGAGCCTGTGGTCTTTAATATGTTATTAAAGTCAATTAAAGTAGCTATAACAGCATGTCAATATTTAAATATCAATGGAAGTCACAGAGTTCAAGGACAGACAGATATGTACATGAAGGATATTTCCATTTGTAAGTATATTTTGAAAGATTAGTTTGGTCACAATAGATTTAAATTCTACAGTGATGTAATTACAAAGTATACAGGTTAAGTGTCAGAAATGAATAATTCAGAATGAGTATTTTTTCTTAGTTTTCAGAATCATTTTGGAAGAAGAAGACATGCAGGAAGTTCAAATTGAACAATAAATCTATTGCAGAGATGCACCGATAGTGAAAATCAGGGCTGATTCCAATGCTTTTTCATGACTTCTTTAAGTGTAGGACTCCCACAACACCAACATTTTCCCTCATGTTTGACCATGAAAACAGATCATCCGTCAAAAATGCAGATATCAGCTGATACAGATATTAAACCGATGCGTCGTGCATCCCTAATCTATTGCATGCTTTTGTCTTATAATGATGCACCTTGTTGACATTTTCTCAATCATGACAAATTGTCCTCTACTTATTCAGGGATTGCGCCATAGATCCCACGTGTGTCCTGTGCATGGACTGCTTCCAGGATAGTGTGCACAAAAGCCATCGTTACAAGGTTGGTGTTGATATAAATGTTCACATATTTAAGAAAATACAACTTAATCTGTATTATTGGACTATATTATAATCGACCACTCAGAAAATACATTGTTATAAAAAACACTACTTATTTCTAGCTGCCTGAGCGCTATGATTGAATACTTTGAAATAATCATAGGAGTTTATTTTGGCCTTTCATGTTTTAGTCCCACTGTTGCATAATTAAGGATTAATTCAAGAAGTAAGAACAGCCATGTCACTATCGTGTGTACATAGTAACTGTACTTTATGTTTCCATTACGATTTGTGAAACTATAAACCCCCTCTCCCCCCTTGTGTGCATTTTTTCCCAGATGCACGCATCTTCAGGCGGGGGCTTCTGTGATTGTGGGGACTTGGAAGCCTGGAAGATTGGCCCCTGTTGCTCCAAACACAACCCAGGGGCAGCCACTGCCATGGTAACGGTGAGTTACATAATAGAGCAGAAGAAGGGATGTGGGAGGGGCATGATTGTCCCATTCTGTGTCAGTGAACCCCAGAATGCTTATTTTCCCATCTTAATTCTGGCTGTGACTTTGTCTCCGGAAACGTGAAAGAAAAGCACTTTGTTGGCCTGAAACATCTTGAGAAAATTTATAACTGGGTTAAAGATCTGGAAGGTGACTGAGTGGAAAACAGTTTGTTAAATCCTGCTTAAGTGTGCAGGGGTGCTGCTGGGAGGCATTTTGCTGATTGAAACTGTTCAGCACTTGTCAGGCCTTTCTTTGCTGATCACAGTGTTTCTCTGATAAGATCCTGCTCTGGAGGCTTTGAACAGACGTACAGCTTGACAGCTTTTGCCTGTTTTCCAAAAACAGCAGGTGCTTTTTATTATCAGAGCCATCAGCTGCCCTGGTCTGTGAGGCTGCTCTATGTTTTCTGCCCCAGTTCTGAGCAAGTGCTTTAAAAAGTGATTTATATCGCCTTGACCATGAATACATCTGAGTTGAACATTAATAACCCAACATCTCCCGTTGTTTAGATTCTGGAAGACTCCAGTCGCTGTTCTCACACAGCAGCGTGACGTAGACGCTGGGGTTAATACACAGACCTGCTGAATATTTAGTTTGCCTTGTGTGTTAAATGTCAGACATTTGTATTAAATAGTTAGCTGCTTTGAGGAATGTTTGCTCTGAGGCAACTGACTCTGTGAAATAAATATCAAATTCCCTGATGAGCTCTTAGAAACAAAATATTTAGATCAGTCCTTTGACATGCTGTAGACACAACTGGCGACACAGGAAATAGAGTTTTAGCAAAGGTTATTACAATAAACTTTGTTCATGTCCGAATAGTTTCGCAAAATTGGATACATCTTACAAAGAACAATCTTGGCGGTATCAATGTTAGAAAAAAGGTTTAAATTTAACTTGCAGCCTCATATTTATTTCAGATTTACATCAGAGAAAATCATAGAAACATATAAATGAGTCTTTAACAGACCATTACTTCACAAAAAAAGCTTGTTGTCACTAAGTGTGTTAAAATGTATCTGATTCTCTGAAGACAGAGATTTACAGGTATGTATTAAGACACTAAATCTAAAACATGAATTCTGTGAAATTCTCCCATTTTGTGCAGGATGAGTGTGTGTTGGAGCCTCAGTTATATGAGCGGGCTGAGAAACTGTTTCGGGTGCTGCTGCAGTACGTTGCAGACTTCCTGGTTTGGGATGAGAACTTGGAGCTGTCAGCGGAACTCCAGCCTCGGTATGGTTCATCTGATAACATGCAAACATGCGTATCCATATGGAAATACCCCACTTAACTTGGACTTCTTTCCTTGCAGAACAAAAGAAAATGCATACTACTGTGTTCTGTACAACGATGAGCACCACTCGTACGACCATGTGATCTACACCCTGCAGCGCTCTGTCCAATGTGATCAGGCCGAAGCTCAGACGCACACGGCTCTTATTGACAAAGAGGTACAATCTTTGTCATGATGTTTTCTTCACAGCATCCTCATGAGAAAGAGACGCCAATTATCATAGCCTTCCATAATTGCACTCATCATACCAGTTGTTAATTATTCCATCATCACTGTTTACTGTTGCACAGGGTCGGCGGGCTGTGAAGAGAGGAACTCTTCTCTCCTGCCAGCAAGCTAAAGATCTCATTAGGGTAACACCATGCAACCGACTCTGCCCTTGTAAAATTGATACATTTACATTTGTTTAGTCTTGAACCCTGTATGATTATATGTCCGTTTGCTTTTGTTGCAGTCCAACTCAGAGCACATTTCGTTGCAGCCGCTTCGTGTGGAGATCCTTCACTCAGCTGTAATGGCTCATCAAACTTTTGCTATACGTCTCGGCAACTGGTTCCAAAAGATCATCGGTTACTCAGGTGCCACCATATCTGCCCCTCACAAAACTTCACAGTTCTATTTATAGATCCTCCACCTTTCTTTGAAAATATATCTACAACTATGTAAGTGGTCATATGTCCATGCACCTGCACATTGTGTGACAGTGAACCTGTGTGTGTGTTGTGCAGTGGGCTTCAGGCAGGCTTTCAGTCAGGTGGCCCTGGAGCCAAACACAGACGGAGAGCGGCCCTGCCTCATCAGCAGACTCATGCTGCATGATGCCAAGATGTACAAAGGCAAGTAGATCATATATTTTCATTAAGGTTTATCTGTACTGGATTCTGTACAACAAGATCATGAATGAACTTCTTTCTCATGTCCTCCAGGAGCTCGCAAGATCGTACATGAGATGATTTTCTGTAGCATGCTGATGGAGACAGAGTTCAAGAGGCTTTTTGCTATTGAGTTTACAAAGGTAATACAGGGGAATGTTTACTCTTTTTGGGGGGGATTCCTTCACCAGCTTCATTTAATACATGTTCTATATGGATGATTTCAGCACTACAAGCAGCTGCAAAAGGATTTCATAAATGATGACCATGAGAGGAGCATATCCATAACGGCTCTGTCTGTTCAGATATTCACTGTACCCACATTAGTAAGTATTGTTTGTTCTTTGCTGTTCTTTTTTTCACATAGAATGGAATATTTTATGTCTCTTAATATCTGTGCTTCTTTAAGGATGTTTTTTTTGCCTCTCTCCTCTTCTAGGCCCGGCAGCTGATTGAAGAGGGCAATGTCATTAAAGTGATAGTTGACACAGTGATGGAACTGCTGCGTGAACATCTGGATGACAACAATCGCTTCTTCTTCCTCGGCTACAACTCAGACAAGTTCTCCCGCATCCAGGTCATCTTCCACGACCTCAGGTCAGTAAACAGGCAACAGTTTAATACTAATGATACCCATACTAGTACGTTTTGGATTAAGAGGATTGCTGCATCAGAACTAAACATCACATTCCAAACTCATCTGAAAAATGGACCTAAGCTAAAACAACACAGCAATCTAGTTACAGGCCGAACACTTTCATCAAAAGATGAGTGAAGTTAGGGTGAGGGATGGCCTAGTAGTTATGTTGTGCGCCCTACAGGCTACAGTCTTTGTCGCAGCGGCCTTGGGTTCAAATCTGACCCCCACCATTTGCTGCTCGTCATCCTCCACTCTCTACTCCCATCATTTCCTGTCTCTCTTCAGCTGTCCTATCCATTAAAGGCAAAGGGCCCATAATAATAACTTTTTTTTTTTAAGTTAGTGAAGTGGAAACAAATTCTGTATTTCTTACTTTTTAATTTTTTTTTTTATATATGTTGTGTCTCTCAGGTACATTCTGATCAGTAAACCCTCGATATGGACTGAAGAGCTGCGGACACAGTTCCTAGAGGGGTTCAAAATCTTCCTTGGGCTCCTCAAATGCATGCAGGTACTAATTATGTTAAATTCTTCTGATACATTTTTGATCGCTTGGAATTGCGGTGTTATTCTACCAGGTTGCTGCAACTTCACAATTCCTGGAACTTCTTCACGTTTCTTATCAGGGCATGGAGGAGGTGAAGCGCCAGTTCGGTCGGCACATTGCGGTGGAGCCAGAATGGGAGGCTGGTTTTTCTCTTCAGATCCAGCTCCGCCATGTTCTTGCAATGTTTCAGGACTGGTGTTCCTCTGATGTGAGTGAGAGATGAATTGTCCCACACTCCCCTTTCATTTGTTTTACAGAAAGAAAAAGGATTGGTGTGAAAATGTTTGTCAACCATTGCTTGCTTCCTCCCTCAGGATGACATCTTGCTGCTTGCATTTAAAGAGTGCCACACAGTCCTGATGCAATGCAACAATCAGCCCTTCCACAGAGAGGCCACAGACTACTACATGTGCAAACACATCCTCCATGTTCACCCATACAAAGTGTCGCAGGAGCCTGTCAGCATACATCTGCCCATCTCCAGGCTACTGGCTGGTAGGACAAATAGTATTTACCTCCTTCATTTATTGTCATTATCGTGGTTAACCCTTAATCCACTACTCTGTTCATTGTGCTCCCCAGGCCTCTTTGTAATGTTGTGCAGAACAGGGGCCATTGACCGGCTGGATAATCTGGTAAGTGACACGACAATAAAGATGATTGAAATGTTTGCAAAACCCTCTTAACAATATTTATTAAGGTCAAATTAAACAAACAAGTGAGAACATTTACATGTTTTCAAAGATAACCGATATTAAAGTGTTGGCAAATTGGAAAAGAAAATACATATTTTTGAAACAGCGTTTTAATTTCTTTGCTGGCATGAGAGCTTGTGCTTTCTCTCTCGTGTGTTGTAGGAGGGCTATGACCTCACTCAGCTCGCGGAGCATCCTCTGCGCTGCGTTGTGCTGGCTGCACAGGTCTCAGCTGAAATGTGGCGGAGAAACGGCCTGTCTTTGGTCAGCCAGGTATAATACTTTCTTTAGATGTTTTAGCCAGTGTTCTTATTCTGTGTGTTCTGTGATATTTTTTTTCTTGAATGAATGAATAAAAAGTAAATCCTGTGCTGTTTCAGGTCTACTACTATCAGGACGTAAAGTGCAGGGACGAGATGTACGATAAGGACATTCTCATGCTTCAGGTCTGTAGAAATTAGACATAGGATTTTTCTCATTCTCTGTCACGTCTAAGGTGGTGATATATGACTCCTCCCACAAATTGTTTACAGATAACTGCTTCCAAAATGGACCCTAACCACTTCCTCATGCTGATCTTGTTGAGATTTGAGCTTTTTGATTACTTTAACGGAAGTTGTACAAGCAAAGACCAGGTAAGCATCGCCTCAATAATGACAACAATTAATCCCAAAGACTTGTTCTGCCACCTTGTGATTTACTTATTGATGAAATGCAAATGAATTTTCAGGATGAACTGACACAGTGGAACCGTTTGACTGAAGAGATGCTGTTCCTCCTTATTGTCATTGCTGGTAAGAGGAACACACATAAATCTTGGTATTTGGTTGGGTGTAAGTCATTTTATAGTGTCTCAATGATGTTGTATTTCCAGGTGAGCGTTATGTTCCGGGTATCAGTCAAGTGACCAAAGAGGACGTGACCATGAGGGAGGTTATCCACCTGCTTTGCATTGAGCCCATGGCTCATAGTAGCCTGGTCAAGGGACTGCCTGAGAATGTAAGCTGAATTTTCCTTCATAGCTTGATTTCTTTCTTTTTTTATGTGTGTGAATAATCATTTAATTAAGATCAAATCATTTTCTTTGTAGGAGAGCCATGAAACAGGCCTGGAGTCTGTGATTACCAAAGTTGCTACTTTCAAGTATGTTAACATTGTGAGAGAAAATTTGACTTTTGTCTTGGAAATCGTTTCTGCGTTGTTGTTTTTAAAAAAAATCTGTCTCCTCTGCTTCTGTTTTTAGAAAACCAGGTGTTTCAGGACATGGATTGTATGAAGTAAAAAAAGAGTGTCTGGCAGAATTCAACCCTTTCTTCTACCACTATTCAAGATCTCAACATAGCAAGGTAGAGCAATGTCCCAGCACGGGTCACATGTTAAACTGACAGAGCTTGTGTTGATGTTTTCCTCATTTCATTTGAACTTTGACTTGTTGTAGGCCGAAGAATCTCAGAAGAAGAGGAGGACTCAAGAGAGCAACGATAAAAGTGACCCACATTTTATATATGCACAAGTTCCCTGTACAGCATCTGTGATGCAGCTGCCAATAAACCAGAGCTACACATGTTGCCTCTTGTTTTTGTTTTCTCAGCTTTGCCACCTCCCATGCCCCCAGCCTTCTGCTCACCTTTCTCCAGTATAGTGCGTCTGCTCTGCTGTGACATCATCATCCATGTCCTGAGACGCGTCCTGCAGAGAGCGGCAGAGGACCGGGCAACTCATTGGACAGAAGCCATGATCCAGAGGGTACACATTACACAGATTGTGTCTTTTTTGTGTGTCTTTTACAGAGTGTACCTTGGTAAGACTTTGCTATTTATCCCTCAAACCCATTGCATTTTCCAGGCCCTGCACCTGATAGGTCAGGCATTGCTAGAAGAGAAATTGCAGCTTGAGGAAAGCTCTATGGAGGAAGTGACCTTTGATTTCAGCCTGAAGGCCCGCAGTGAGTGGAAGTTTTTATCATAGCTGGTTCAACATTTGTCATTGTTCATAAAGCCATAAACTTGTTTGGATTTGTGGATTTTGTGACACAGATGTCCTTTTTTGTTCTGTTAGGAATCGGCTCAGAACACGGCAAGTCAGTGTTCGCCTTGTTGTCAAAGATCAAGACTGTTCCTTCCCTTGAAGCTCAGAAAGACATGGTCAAATGGGTTCTTCAGGTAGGCTGTTCAATTAGATAGTTTCATCATATTAACCATTTCTGTCACTTTGATGATACATTGATTTTCCAATTACCTTCATCATTTGTATAATTTTCTTCTAGATGTTTGAGATCATCAAGTGCCTTAGAGAGAAGTCCAGCCCGTCAGCCTCTATGAGCATGGAAACAAGCAGGCCTGAAGAGGTAAAAGAATACTGCATGGTGCAATTAAATGATAAATGTAACAGTTCAACTGACTTCCATCTTTCATCCGAGTTTAGTCTTAAGATTAAATTCTAAGAGCCAGAAGCAAAACCTAAATCCGAATCTATTTAATTCCTCTTGAATTTTAAGAAATATCAAACACGTATTTATGTTATGTAGCTTCTCAGTAGTCACATGTAACTGTCTGACTTCCTCTTACTCCAGAGTGCTCAGGACAAAGAGAAAGCTGAGCGCAAAAGAAAGGCAGAGGCAGCCAAACTCCATCGACAAAAGATCATGGCTCAGATGTCCGCAATGCAGAAAAACTTTATCGAGTCAAACAAGATGCTCTATGACAACATGCCAGAGAGCGTGACACAAGGAGAGCCTGCTACAACCACTGAGAGGTGATCAGGACAAATCACAACAAAAAAAAAACACTCAGGTGTTTTCAGCTTGATTTAAAGAAAAGGAAAATAATACAACTTGTGTGTTGTGCTTCTTCCTCCAGCTGTGCCATGGAGCAGAGGGAGCTGTGCGTAGCTGTCGGCCCTCATCGAGGGTTCACTCCAGCTGAGAGGGAGGTACTCACCTGCATCCTTTGTCAGGAAGAACAGGAAGTGGCGGCCCAGGCTCAGGCCATGGTGCTGACTGCGTGTGTGCAGAGATCCACAGTGCTGACACAGTGCAGAGGGAAGAAACTGACCTGCATAGGAGATGGTGAGTCTCTCACTTGTTGTTTCCTTTTAAATGTAAGAAACTGCAATTATTACCACAAGAAAAATTGGTCCTTAATGATCATTTTGTATCATGATACCTTTCAAAAAAAAGAAACTGCAATTATTATAGGGGGGAATTCTGGCTCTCACACATTGGATTAATATGTATGTGCATCTTTCCCTTTAAAGGGACAGCATATCCTCTCTTCATGCCTCCTGAGCTGGCGGTTGGGACCCACACTGGAAGCTGTGGACACGTCATGCACTCCACATGTTGGCAAAAGTAAGAAACAAATTCTGATGAGGTTTCAGTTCTTCTCCTGTGAGAGTTTATTTGACTTTGACCTGATGCATTTGTTTTATTTTTTAGATACTTTGAGGCTGTTCAGAATACAACCAGGAACCGGCTCCACGCCGAGCTGATCATCGACCTGGAGAACGGGGAGTACTTGTGTCCCCTCTGCAAGTCTCTGTGCAATACTGTTGTACCCCTCATCCCCCCAGAGCAACTTCTGTTTAACTAGTAAGTCCAGCCTTCTACTTCAGATCAATATGTGATTAATTGTAAAAATGATAAGACGCTAAATATTCTTGTTTCAATATGCAGCGAAAATGCAGAACTAATTGGAAAGCATTTGACCATGCCTCGATGGATCCAGATTCTTTCTGCAAGGATAAAAGGACTCAAGTCACTCACTCAGGAAAATGGTAAGAAGACGCAATGATTTACAGTAATTGCTTTTCTTTGGATGGATCAGTCGGCAAATCCGGTGTTGAAAATGAAGCCAATGCAGAAGTGCAGTATCCTGCGAACAAACACAAAAAGTCACATTAACACCCATTCAAAAAAGACCGTTTTTACAGCCGAAATCAACATGTTTACAGCCTGGTTCAAAAAATGAAAATAGGTCTGATGAGCTCCATCGGCACACACTCTACTCTACAGGTGGAGAATTTTTTGATAACTAATCCATTTTGATTTAATGAAGGATAAGCTAAATTCACAATAAGGTGCATAACTGACCTGATTGACAGGCGGTGCAATGTAACAGTTTGTCAAGAGGCTACAAAAACCTGAACTTAGCTTGTTGTTATGTTGACTGAAAGTTACACTGAGACAGCATTTCCAACATGGTGACCTCCATCGATGGGACTCCAAAGCCCCCCTGCAGTAACAGATGGGTGACATCACTCAGGCTTTGTCCATTAATATTTACCATCTATGGGATGGATGAACAACAATGGCACATGGCATTCTTTTATTTTGAAAGGCTTATGAACATTGTAGGTTTATCCTGGGCAGCTCTTTGTTTAATCCCTGTGAAAAAGGCAAGCTCAGAATGTCCAAACATAGATGAAGAGCATAATCTAACCTGGTAGAGACTAGCATGTAAATGGTGTTTCATATGTTAGTAGATTTATTGTAAACTCAACACTGCAATTACTTTATAATGGAAGCTGTAATTTACTCTATTTGATGGAGGGCTTTTACTGTAAAGCACCTGCTGTGCTAATGAGTGCTATTAAATGTCAATATGTGTGTAATATGATGCATGACATCATTTATAATTGTCTCTATGTTTTTTGCAGATTGCAACACAGAAAGCAGTAGTGTTGATGTTGATACAGGAATGTGTGGAGAGGGTCAGCTGGACCCCAGATCCATTCTCAGCTATGGGCTTCGAGAGCCGTGAGTGAAACTGTCTCTTCTTCAACTCATGGATCTTTGTTTTTCTATAATGCAGCCGTTTTAAATTCACTTCTGTTTTTTTTTTCCAGGAGGAGGCTCTCAGACAGCATAGTAGAGATGCTGGTTGTGTGTGCCACCACAGTCCACAGGGTGGGACTGCAGACGGCACCCAATGAGCTGTGCCCATGTGTGCCCCTCATGGCGTGGAACACATGTGCCTTCACTATCCAGGCCATAGGTACAGCAAGTCTCTGTACATCAGGTCACTCTCTCCTGTTACTTTCATGTTTTTGAAATTTCTTAAAATATGTTTGTATGTCTTCACAGAAAACATCCTGCAAGAGGAGGAAAAGCCGCTCTTTGGGTCCTTACAAAACAGACAGGTTCGATGTGACATGTTGGCACAGGAAGGTGTTTAATGGTTTGGCAGGTATCAGTTTCGTGAAATGCTTCTGTATTTTAGCTTGCAGGTCTGAAGGCAATTGTTCAGTTTTCAGCAGCTCAGAGATTGAAGAGCTCCCAGGCTGTCATTCAGAGGCACTTTGCTGGCATGCTGGGGGGTATGTAGTCATTGAAGAGAACTTTATCATTCTTTTCCCATGGGATATACAACAGTTTAACTTTTAGGAGAATTACCCTGTTGCCTTGTTGTCATCTTTCCCCAGTCTTATTGCCATCCATGAGCAGAAGAAACACCCCTTCTCTGTTGGAGGTGGACTTCTTCCATCTTCTGGTGGGTGCACTGAAACTGATTTATGGACTCTGACTCTTCAACTCCCTACTCTATATAACCTCTGTTGAATTACCATTAATATATTAAACCACTGATATGCATGTAGGCATTCATGCTTTCAAAACATTCTTCAAGAAGATTTTTCTATTTCACTATGATATAAAAAAAAGTTTTCTAATTCAAAGTTTTTTCTTGCACTAATTAAAATGCTTCTATTAATAAAACTGTGTATGTGTTCTTGTGTGGTTTGTCAGGTGGGGATGGTGTTGTCTATCCCCTCACTGTATCAGGAGCAGGCTGTAGACTTACAGCCGTCTGCTATCAGCTCTGCCTACAACCATCTGCACATTCTTCATCTGGTCACCATGGCTCACATAGTGCAGGTCCTCCTGTCTTCTACAGGTAAGAACAGCAACATCATTAACAAAACATTCTTGTTTAATAATTATATTTATAACTAACATTTACCGAACTCCCTCAGAGTGCTTTACAATAACATGGAGGATTGTTACGAGTGAATAATGGTGTCTATTGTGGCCAGATTTCCCTGCAGTAGCAAGCGGAGAAGAGACAGAGGAGACGAGAGCAGCAGCAGAGCTGTACGGTGCAGTGTCACAACACACTGGCCGGTAAGATCATCATAAGTTTTATTATATTTAAGGTAAAGAACAAGCAAGATCTTTTTTTAGTTTGAAATTCATGAATATTTTTTTATTGTTACCCTTTAGGATTTTAAGATACTGTAAAAAAGGTTTAGTGTCCTCTCCTGAATGACAAACACTAGAGGCTCAAACAAGCTGTGCTGATCGACGCTTTCCTGGATGGATAATCAGCCCAAAATAAAACTCTTCTGAGGTCTAACATATGAACAGGTTGTTAGTTAACCTAACGTGTTTGTTCTAACGGATAATGATGTCATTTAAGAGATAAAAGGTCATGTTTTGAAGATAAGTACAGGACAGCATTTGTATTTCTGCAACTATATATGAGCCTGTTATATGATATAGTCATACTTGTAAGGAATCGACCGTGTCTGTAATGGAAGAGAATACCTTTTTCATCGAGGCAAGCTTTGCTCCTTGTCTCCAGTTATCAGGTCTGTTTCCATGCTTCATGCTCAGAGATGTATATGGACTTCGTTCAAGTTGATTGACAGTTCATTTTCTTTCTGTGTTTTTCACTTAAGGCCCATTCCAGATGTGTGCGGCAGCGCTGTGGCCGAAAGAGTGAAAAGAGGAATCGAACCTTTCCTGCGCTGTGCTGCTCTCTTTTTCAATTGCCTTACAGGAGTACATCCACCGGAGGAGCTCTCCAGTACTGCTGGTAGGTCAATCCCAAGTATTATGTCATTATAACATCCTGTACACGATGATTAATGAAGAGGAGCTGACAATTCTGGCACTTTCAGTTACCCCTCAAGGACAGATGGAGGCAGTGTGCAGCTACCTGGCACTTCCCTCAAATGTGTTCCAGCTCTTCCAGGAGCACAGAGAAACTGTTGCTCCATTGCTGCAGAAGTAGGTGTTAGATATTTAGGCAGGATGTAGGTGTTTATTCAGACACTTTCACGTATTCACAGGAAAAGTCATCTTTTGTAACTTTCTCAGGTGGTGTGGAAACCAAGCTGTAACCAAAGCTCTGAAAGGAAAACTTCAGACAGTCAGGTACACTTTGGCATTTGTATTCTTATCTCAAAACTTTGTTTTGTAATTAAACATTTTCTTATGATTATTTGATAAACTCTTTCTCCAGATACCCCAGGAGAAGGAATCGTTTGATTGATCTTCCCGAGGATTACAGCGCTCTCCTCAATCAGGCCAGCCATTTTCAGTAAGTGGGGAATTGAAGTCCTCTCTATTAAAACATCTGTCAGAGATTTACTAACCTTCAAATTTGTACGTTGTCCAAAGATGTCCAAAGTCTATGGATGATGAGAGGAAGCATCCGACCCTGTGCCTGTTCTGTGGGGCCATGCTGTGCTCTCAGAGCTCCTGCTGTCTCAGCCCGCTGGATGGAGAGGATGTGGGGGCTTGCACCGCCCACGCTGCTACCTGTGGTGCTGGAGTGGGCATGTTCCTCAGGTAGGTTGATAGGGATCAAGAGAATTATTTTTTCTGTGTAAATCTTGCATTTTTTTGTTCTTATGAAATTTGATTTCTCTTTGGCAGGATAAGAGAGTGTGAAATAGTACTGATGGCAAGTAAGACTCGAGGAAGCACATATCCTGCTCCTTACCTGGATGATTATGGAGAGACTGATCCTCATCTTGGGTAAGAATGACCTGGTGCTCTTCATCCTTGACAACAGGTCTCTCCATACTAGAATGTAATACCTTGATACCATATTGGTGTAAGAAACAATCCTCAATACGTCTTTGATACCATAGCAAAAAGATAAAATAGTCACGAGAACAAAATGGGCTATACATTTTTTTTGATAACAACTTGCACACAGGGCTGGGGCAGACTAAACTAAATCAGACGTTTTGTCTTTTACTTTCTAGAAGGGGCAACCCTCTACACCTTTGCCCTGAGCGCTACAGGAAGCTGAACCAGCTGTGGCAGCAGCACTGCATCCTGGAGGAGATCGCCCGCAGCCTGGAGGTGGTCAATGTAATGTTTGCCTTTGAGTGGCAGATGTTGTGATGATTGCTTCTGCTGTGGAGGCTGCGGGGAGTTAAGAGCACAGCCATATAGCACCACTGCTCCAGTGCTCATTAACACACATGCAAACACACACACGAACGACGTCAACAATCCTACAATCAAAGGAGACCCGAGTAGCCAATCCCTTCCCGATGAAGCCCCTGCTGGAGTTGAGAGAAGTGGGACAGTCGAGGAGGAGGAATATGGAGAATAATAGAGGGTGGCGGATGATGAGAAAACCCAAGTCGCCTTGTTTTAATTTGATTGTCTGTTATGAGAAAGAGTTTCTCCTAAAGTAATATTATCTGCTAAAAGGCTCATTCAAATAAAGACAAACATCAGATACTCAATAACATATTTTTGTTACCGCTTCATGGTTTTGGTTTTCTCTCCTCGGTGATGCTGTGAATTTTCTGCATTTTCATTTTGTGTGAGAAACTCTGGTGTGTCCTAAGTTAAGATTGATGAACTATACTGTTTGTGAAGGTACTATTATTTTGAAAAGTTGAAGTACAGTTAAGGATTCCTCACATATTTGTTAAGTGGGACAAAAAGATGACCACGCCTAATGTAACCTCTGTAATGGTATATTTAGACACGTATATAATTGAGATAACATTTATGGAATACACTTTATTACAGAGTCAGTGTTCTGAGAGACATATTTACAATCACAAGTTCTACTATTAGGCCAAACTTATTCTGTTATTCTGATATCTGCTGTTTGTTTTAAATCATTAGACTTTAATGAAGGGACCATAGCTACAAAGATTATGCTGACTCACTTGACGCAAATTCAACCGAAGTAAAAAAAAAAAAAATTAAATACTCCTATTAAGAATGAAATGTACTATTTTATTGAGTAAACAAACCAACATTAAAGTTAGAGTCTTATATCTTTTCAATAATCACATCAATCATGCTCATGCTTTACAGGAAGAATGTTTGAAGATAATGTTTCCTCCTTTTTGTGTTGTTTGACAATACTTCATGACTTCCAGGCTGGAAATAAAGAGACTAGCCTCTATCCAGACGACTGTTCATTTGAAGCATTTTCTATTTTCTCATGTCAAACAATTCAATATTTTTTTGTAATACTGGGACAAAATTTACTCATCAACTGAGAACCTAAAATATGATGTTTTTATTTGAATGGTGAATTTGACACATGAATGTCTCAGAGTCAGAATTAAGAATTTACTGAACTACATACTTTACTTTAAAGACAACCCACATATTTTCCCCTACACATGCTGGGATAACTTTTTATTTCTATATTATTTGACCGCTGGGTCAATAAAGGAACTTCTGGTTCTAAAAATAAAGGTAAACAAAGCAGGCGCTCAGACTTCCACTAAGGCTTTTACATGAAAACAAGGAAAGACATTGTAGCATACTTTGCAAAGTACTGGTTTGTAGCCCCTACCAAGTTATCCCCAACAATAAAAACCCAGTCATCACCAGCTCAGAAGGTTTATTGTCTTTTTTTGGTGAGTTTTCTTAAGAGCATGGTGGCATTGCTGAGGCACATACGATCCTTAGTAGGATCTTGATTGATTTTGAGTAATAAATTACTTTACAGTCAGGTTATGTGCTTTAACTGATTTGAGAGCAATCATAGAATATCTGTATCCTGTTATTATGCTACCATAGGTACTTCTGCTAGTCAGGCTGAAAGCAACAGAAAAGTTACAAAAAACACTTTGTGAAACACACAACACTGATGTCAAATTCCTCATCATGATCTGCCAGGGTTTGTACTGCAAGAGTTATTTAAATTATGGCTAAATCACCCTCACATCTATGAACTACTTACTGTTTTTATAATAATTTAAATCTCTTTTTACTGCATTTTCTGTCGAGGTCATTTCGACTCAGGAGCTGGAGCCAAAGTGTGTTTAGAAGATCTTTGTTGGGAAACAACAAGATACTCAGGCAACAAGATATGATTTGTAAACAACGGATTACAGTACAGATTTGTACAATTGTACAAAATAGTTTTGCAGTCATGGTTATTTAGGGTTGATGTCATGCTGATTGTAACAGTTTAAAAAAGTGGTTGTAAACAGAAAAGAATTATCCTTTTTTTGGAAAAGATGTTCACTGTCATTCAAGGAAATAGATCATATATTTGGTTTTATAAAGGTATCTTTCTCGTTTATATTTCATGATTTACACCAAAAAAATCTGTACATTGAAACTGTAAAACTCTAGTAAGAGTTTGGATGAAGGCCTTCAGGGATGTTTTCCACTGAGGCCTGACAACAATCAACTGGCTTTAGGTGCTTCCTTAGGCGGTACATTATCTGGCCCATAGTTTGCTATAGAGGTTGAGGGCACGTTAATGTTGGGGTCTCCATTGTTTCCGTCGTCTATCTGGTTGCTCTTGCCGAGGCTCTTGATGATGTTCAGGTTGGTGCGGGCCGTCTCCATAAAGCTGTTTTCTAGCAGCCAGCCGTCAGATTCAGAGTCGGGGTCCCCCTGTTTCAGCACATTTTCCAGAGAGGTTTGGAGGAAACGAACCCCCGTCAACACTGACAGCTGAGACATAGAGACAGAAGCATGGCAGTTGCATCATAACACACATCATAGTACATCTGATCAAATAAGTAGAGTTTTGTTTGTTTTACTTCATTCATTCTTATGTAATTTTATTTCTGTTTCGTATCTGCAGCTGTGTTACAGGTATGGAATAAACAACAAGGGATTGTGGATGACTCACAGGTACAAAAAGTGAGATTTTAAGCTTACAGCTAGAACTCAAAGTGAGTTTACAGTTTTAAGGTTTTAATGCACAGGTTAGGGTGTCACCTTCCACCTGACAACTCTTTTCATAGAAAGACAAAGCCTATGTTGGTGTTAAATCAGATAGTTCAAATGGAGATTATTTTATTACATATATGAGTAAAAAGACTTCCTCAGTTGATAAAGTTATTGCAACAGTGGTTGCAGAAGCCACTGGCTATATGTATTATAATTTGAGGTATTTCCCTTCCTTGTCAAACCCTTGGGCCTACATTTCCCATAATCCAAAGCGACAACAGCATGTTTTGGTAGGACAGTGAGGTGAGCAATGATAAACTAGCATCTCTCCGACCTCTGCAACTCTTAATACGTAAAAAAAAGTTTCTGTGTGTGTGTGAGACTCAAAGCTTCCTAATTCAGACCCCTAATTCTACTGTGGCGACATTTACGTCACGCCTTTGTCAAACTAGTCCACCAGAAGGCTACAACTTCAACAGCAGGTTTATTTAATGTGTAAATCATGTGTGAGTGATATGACTCTTGAAGCCACCCACTAAAATAGCTGTGTTTTGTGAACTTGTTGCTATGTCTCCTAACCTCAAACAGCCAGATGATGAGGACGGTGAGGCCGATGGACTGCATGATGTGGGTGAAGTAGTCCAGCAGCGCCTGGCGGCAGCCCTTCATCCTCAGGTTGAGCTCCTCCGTCTGGTGCTCGTAGTTAAAATGAGCCGAGTTGTTGGTGATCTGCTGCTGGATGCAGGGCCGGGGGGAGTCAATGTTACAGCAGCTGAAGGGGACTCCATCCATCAGGTACTTTCCCTCCACATTACTTCTTAACCGGCTACAGAGCAGGAAAAACGAGGGAGAAACTCAAGGTGGGTGTGTAGAAGCCAATATTGCCATCAGAAATAATATTAAATAAGATGACAACTTAGCCTTGTCAAGAAAAATAGATGCAACCCCAGAGTAAGACGCTTAATAATCATGAGATTGAAATCCTAACCATGAAATAAAAAGTCATAGTTTTGAGGTATTAAGTCCAAATTCTGAGATAAAGTTATGCATTATGAGACATGGTGCAATTTTACAAGAAACAGAAATCAGAATTGCTAGTTAAAAGGCAATAATATCAGAAATATGTAATAATAATGAGATTCAATGTTGTATCTTGTAATATTTTTTATAATACTTTATTATCTCATAATTATAACTGACAGGCACTCGCAGGCTATGAATGGGATCAAGGCTTATGTCTTATGGGGCAATAATGCTCTTCAGAAGTACATAGACATTAACATAATGTACTTTTACTTATCCACTATTTCTATTTCTTCATAATCCAGCCTTTTTAAACTGCTTTATGTCCTGCAAGTACTTGATACCTACTTCGTTTTCATCTTATTTCAGCTGATACGACAATAATGATTAATGATGATGTTATATTGTTCTACCTACAAGTGTAACCTTTTATTAAGTTAAAAAAACAAGGGGCTGGAATGCTCTACCAAATACTCGTCAGTCATTTGAAAATGTCTATTTTTATTATTTAATTAAAAATATTTGAATAAAAAATAGTTTAGCTCGTTTTTATAACATAACTTGAAGAACATTTCATGTTTTAAATCTTTTAGTTGTAAAGATTTTAATGTGTTGAATCAACACATAATGTGGAATATAATAAGGGGAGGGTCTTGCAGCTTATTGTCTAAAGTATGTTTATTTACCCTTTAATAAAAAATACTTTTCCTCATATAGATTGCACTTACTCCGCCACGTCTTTGTGGGTCATATCCAGGTATCGGTTGCTGATCCACTGGATTTGAAACCAGTCTTTATATCCATTGTTCCCACAGCACTGGAACTCTATCTGCAGTATATCCACCGTACGCTTCAGGAAGCATCGTCCCGGGGTGTCTGTGTCCTTATAGAACTTCATGGCCTGTGTCAGCCCCAGGTTCAATGATTCCTCCAGCTCCCCACGCATGGTGTAACACATCAGAGCCCCCACCAGCACACAGAAAGTGAAGAAGAAGGTGAAGATGATGTAGGGCAACATAATCAGCTTCCAGCGCAGGAACTTGTTGGTGTCCACGCAGTCATAGCAGATCTTCCCTCCCAGAAAGTTTATGGCACAGGCGATGAGGCCCACAGCAATCAGCATGTTGGGCACGTAATGAATGTCCCTATCAGCCATCATCTCTTCTTGCTTGTTGAGCTCCACCTTTAGGAAGATCCCCAAGCTGAAGAGGATTGCCCCCGTTAATACAGAGAACCAGTTCAGGATCCAAAGAACCTGTGCTAGCTTGTCCCTCTTAGTTTTTGTGAACTTCACTCTCCAAACCGCCATCGTTTATATGTCCCAGCTGTACGTTTTCTTTTAAGTCCGGGGTTGGGGGGATTAAGGGTGGAAGACAGGTAGAGCAGGGGAGAGGAACAGGTTATCCTCCAGGGGGTGTGGACAACCAAGGGACGTGGGATTGGTTTTACAATTTTCTGCAGGTCCCCTCATAAGCAGCTTAGCCTCGTAGTCATGACTGATATCTTGTAGATGCTGCATTTTGGTTATACTTTTTTTAATTTTTTTTACCAGCATTGAAGAATCAGAAGATGATTACTAAACAGAATAATGTCCCTTGACATCCGGTGATTTTAGCATTTGTGTCAAGAAAAAAAAAGCAATGAATTAGATTGAATATAATAAATATCTAACCGAATAAAACAGCAGTTAGAAAAGTCCACTGTACCATATCCTGCTCATCGTTCTCCTTCATTCATTTTCCTCTTGTTTTTTTAGCTCTTCTTCTTGCTGTTGTCCTCAGATATAGTCCAAGTGTCCATGTCTGAGTGGTAGTAGTGACACGGATGCTATGAAGGCAGCCACAGCAGCATCAGAGTGGGACTAGCAGCCAAATCCTGACCCTCCTTTTAATCCCTTTTAATCATTAAAGAGGCCCTGCGGGGGATTTGGACCTACCTTCTGCTACCTATGCAAATCCAACTGTCTGAACACAGTGAGACTAATGGCCGGAGCCATTGTTTGCGTGTTTGTGTGTTTTTATTTGTCTCAAAAGTTTTTGTTCTCAAAAAAGTAATAATTTACAACTTTATTAGGGATTTGTTGTTAATCCCAAGTATCTACAACATTACCTGAGCATATTTTAGTCAAGCCGTTATGTCTTAGCATAAAATAAAATTATGAAAAAAACATGATACAATTTTAAATAAATTAAATCAACATTAAAGACTTTAACGTGCTAACATCTGCAGCTTGTTTTGAAGACCACTCTAGAGCTGAAGAAGTAAATAGGCCAAAGGTTCAACTGGAGGTGAACGCACATGAACATGAACAAAGCCAAACAACATGTGCACTGCCCTCTACTGTTGGAAATGTCCATGGTTAATTATAAATAGAACAACAGAACAAATTCGAATATTTATATATTTTCCCATTTATTAAAAAAAAGAGAAAAGGATGCTCTGATTTCAGTAGTTTCTTTAAATCTTAACTTTAGTCTGACGTACCTCTCCAGAATCCCCAGAGTTTTGACATAAATGATGTGACTTTCAATCAAAATATCTTGTCATCGTTTTTAGTCATCGACCAATTGTTGCAGTTCTGTTTCCAAAGCGTGTGGCCAATACTGTTGTAAAAAAACGTGTGACATCACTGGCAGGGTGCAGCCAAACAAACCATATAGAGTTTGGTAGTTTTAATAAACTTCATATTAAGACGGTCATTATCAACTGCTGCTATTCTGTCACCCCTGCTGACCTCACCTGGTTTGTTTCCAATTAAATCAATTTAACACATGTACACACTCACAAACTCACTGCAAGTCAGCCAATGAGATGTTAACTGAGAGGGAGATTAGAGGATTAACATGTACCAAAGTAGCTTGTGTAAGAAGAGCGCGTTACTGTACAAAAGAGCAGGTAAAAACACCTTACTCATTGTTATGTTACAAAAAGCAGGTAAAAGACCTTATTCAGTTGAGTTGTGACTGTTTCCGCAGAGCATTCAAACAGCGGCGCTCCCGACGCTCTGCGCTCTGATTGGCTGGATACCCTTCGAATAGGATTTTATAGGGTGTGTGTTTTGGTTCCCAGTGAAGCCTCGCTGGGCGGGGCGGTCTCTTCTCACAACAGTTTCTGTCAATCGGGTTTGCTCTAAACGTAAACCAAACGCACCGTTAAAATGGAAAACGCACACAGAACTACAACTGTACTACAAACATAACAACAGCAAGCTGATAGTTTGAACCATAGACTGTTAAAAAAATAACGTTGTCGGGATTTTTTATTGCCCCATTTTGGCTCATATGAACTCTAGAAAAACAGGAATAGAATAGTAGTCCTGTAGGCCTTAAAGGTTTTTTTTTTAAGTATGGGGCCAATGTTCATGGACTCTTAGACCAATAAATAAACAGTTGCAATGTGTTGCAATCATAGTCTTTATATTTTAAGGTGGAATATTTTACAAATGTGTTGTTACTCAGTTAATAAAAATAACACTGTTTATTGATCTTTTAATCATTTGTTATAAATAGCTTTTTTTTTGTTTTAAAATGCCATGAAGAGTGACCTCATCTGAAAAAATGTTTTGTTGCATGTAAGAGCTGCACTGTTTATAGGCATATCAGTTTTTTTAGTTGATCCTTTTTATAAAAAGTTTATTGTTTTCCTTCAAGACAAGGATATAACCTGAAGGGCCAAAACAATAAAACACAATAGTCTCATTTATTTCTTATAGGTTACTGTTTACTTCTCTGTTCAACCACTAAGTGGAGACATGTTTAATCTTCATTCATGGTTCAGCAAACTATTGTTCACAGAGGTGCTGACATAAAAGTATGTGATGTTGACATTGACCCAGTAGTCAGTTTTACCCTCAGACTTATGTCCAAGACGTATGGAGGAATGGTGGAAGATATTGTGCTGATTATTATTATTATGCCTTTGGTATGATATAATAAACTATCAAAGTAAAAGCCCTAAAGCAGTAGAATCAAGCAGCTGTTAAATAACTTAACAGACCTAAAGGCCCCTTTACAGGTTTTTAATGGATTTCTACATCTGTTTTGGTGTAAAAAGCTTCTAGAGAAAAGTACATAATAATGTTTAAACTCTCTTTAGGGTCAGAAAACTCCTAACGTCATTAAAGTGTCACACAACAATTCAACACAACAACAACAATTTGTGATTTAGGATAATGTTTTTCCTCTATCACTTGTGACTCCTGATCTCCAACACTCCAACACTCATAACCACATCACACAGCTGGCTTTTTCACCAGAGAGCCAGTACAAGAGCAGACCTGCAGCCAACTGAATGGAAACAAAGTCAAAAGAATAGCTAATTAGAAAAACAATGAAAATCGTCTTCTCCATCACAACCATTTCCTATGTTTCTCTGAGTACACTCACACAACTCATGTCAACTCAACCATTACCTCAAAGAAGAAGGGATACACATATTACACAAAGCAGCATGAATTCAGTATTCACCTTTTTATTTAGAGTTAATCCTATCTTTACTGTTATCAGCTCATCTGCTGCATGTCAGGGAAGATAAGCAATCTTTGGTTATTTGGAGAATTTTGGGTTCAACACAGAGCTAGGATATATTTTAGAATATGATACAAGCAGCGAACAATGTACAGAGAAAAACGAGGCTTTATTGATTGTTTGTTCTACAAACTAACCACGATAATTAGGAGCTTTCACATTTACCATTTGGTGCAATGGTTGGACTGAAAGCAACTTTGAGTTTGAACTGAGAGCTATAAAATTCCCTGCTGTAGACTGAACAGGTTCAGTCATTTATCCTATAGTTTAGAACTTTTAAATAGTGGCAAATAAGAAAGATAGGCTATAGAATATAATCTTTCTTTGTGTGTTTGCACTGGTATTTTAAGAACCTGGTGTTATTTATATGCTTAATTTATTTCTGGAAATGACTAAATATTGTTCATCATTTTATGTTTTAAGTCAATGATGTTGATTGTTATCTTTTTTATGGCTGCAGTACAGGCCTAGAGCCCTTGAACAACTGCTCTAAAATACCAAAGTATAGGAAAAAAAACATGTTTATTCAGTGTAGAGTTCCAAATAAAATCTGAGACTAAATCTGAAGCTTTTCCTCAAACGAAAGATGAACATTTACGCGTATTACGCAGAATCTTTATCGCATTGTAGTCTATTTGTTTCACACACATACTGTAATATGACTGAGAATTGTATTTAGTTAAAGATTAGGCAATTTTGAAGAATATCTATTTAAGACCGACTGAGCTGCTCGTGCAGAGTTAAACTTCATGTAATCTGGTTAACTCTATCAGACAAAACATCCATACTCTATTGACACATCAATTTGGTTCAAATGATTTGAAGATTACACATTTCACTTATATGCCTACATTTGTTAACACCTTACAGTTGAAAGAAATATCAGTAATATTATTATTAATTTATTTATTTATTTATTTATTTATTTATTTATTTATTTATTTATTTATTTTCAATTCAGATTAAAATGGTTGGGGAACCAGAGCACCTGGAGAAAACCCAATGGGGGATGATGGAAAGTCAAAACCGGAAATAAACCCTGACCTTTGCTGTGAAGCCACAGTGTCACCAGTGAGCAGCTGAGTTCAGTGGTAACGTTGTGGATCTTTCTCCTAGCCATCATTTTGAGTTGGTTTCGACTGCATTCAATTTACATGTGGCGTTTACCGCCACACCTAAATGGAAGGCATCGACTGTCAAAATAACAATGAGAAATTTCACAGCAAGGAGCAAGGTTTGGATTCTTGATTTGGTGGTCAGGGGACTGTGGGGTTGAAAAAGGAGGATCATTTTAGTCCTCAGCACTCATGCACATGGTGAAAGGTTTCATGATAGCTGTTCCTATTGCTGCAAAAACCCTGTACACTGCATTCTGCTTTGGGGCAGCATTTAGGGCTTCCAGATGGATTTTCAGATATTTCAGGACAGCATCGTCAAAAGCTGTTTCGTCTGATAATGCTGCCTTCAGTGTCTCTTTTGGAGAGCCAAACTCTTTTTTTAGGTCTTTTAACACAGACTTGTTGAATTGCTTGTTATCCTTGATTTGGCTGATAGCGGAGAAGTCGATCTCGCCACATATTTTGTCAGACAGACGCTTGATGACAGTATCGATATTATCCATCTGAAGGGACGTTCTGGATTTCTTTGGGGCTTTGGACTGGAGCTTCAGCATCAGAGCAGTGGTGAGGCTATTGGTCTTTCTTGTGCATTCAGGAGATGTTGTGACGGATTGCACTGAAAGGACTGCATTTGTCGACTTTTCAGAGCTTTTCGTATAACTGTTGGACGATGATAGACGACCCAAAGATATCTGTG